GTTTACAATAAAGGCTCGAACCCCTTCAAAGAAAAAAAAAGAAAATAAATTCATTCACAAAAATAAAAATATAATTAGTACAAGTGTCATAATTTATTTATCCATAAACTAGAAAATACACTTACATATGAATTGAATGTACGAAGAATAACCTACTGAGAAATCTATATCTTTTGAACCCTTTTCTCCTCAAAAGAAGGAAAACAGGGCATAAACTATCAGAAATCATGTGCAGAACCTGGACTGTATACTTTTAATCAATCGTCTAAAGCGAAAGGTCCTCTTCACCTCTAAAGATCTAATAATGCAAGTCAGTTGGGTGAATTCGAACATGAGAAGTATAAGACCGTCTAATATTAATAGTTTTGTTAACAAATGGTAGCAAAGGAGGTGCATGGCTAGTTGAAATGAAAGAGCTTGGATTGGATCTCCACGTATCAGAGATTTAAATATTTTTATCTCTGAACCGGTATTTTGGATTAGTTACATAATCGGATCAAATGTTAAAATTCAACTCTTGGTAACATAATTCTTCATTCATACTGAAATGGTTCCTCCTAGAGGTGTATTTATACAGAGTAAATAACAACTCAGTAACAAACTAACAAATTCCTAGGATCAGAATTGTAACAACTTTACTAAGAAACAAATTCCTAAAAATAACTTAGTTAAGATTCTAGAGAATACAACAATATTTCAAACTACAACTTTGAATTTTTCTTTCTGTTTCAACACTCCCCCTCAAGTTGGGGCGTGTATATCCAACATGTCCAACTTGCAAAGTATACTATCATGCGCTTTAATAGAGATTGCTTTGGTTAGACTATCTGCCAGCTAATCTTCAGATTTGATGTAAAGAATATTAATAATTTTTTGATCCACCTTTTCCTTTATAAAATGCCTGTCAACTTCTACATGCTTGGTTCTATCATGTTGAACCGGGTTTTGTGCAATTTCAATGGCAGCCTTATTGTCACAGTAAAGGTCCATAGGGCAATTACTTCCTAGTTTTAAATCTTTAAGGACATTCTTAATCTATAGGAGTTCACAAATGCCATATGACATACCTCTAAACTCAACTTCAGCACTTGATCTGGCAACCACCTTTTGTTTTTTGCTCCTCCATGTGACTAGATTCCCATCAACAAAGGTTAAATAACCCGAGGTAGACTGCCTTGTAGTCTGATCTCCTGCCCAGTCAGAGTCAGTATAACCTTCTATGCCTTCTTTCTTATTTTTCGAAAAAAGAAGACCTCTTCCGGGTGATTTTTTTTAATATCTCAGAATTCTAAAAACAGCCTTCATGTGTTCTTCACTAGGAGAGTGCATAAACCTGCTCACCACTCCTACTGCATAACAAATATCTGGTCTTGTATGAGATAAATAGATAAGTCTTCCCACTAGTCTCTGGTACTTGCTAATATCAGTTTCAATTTGATCTGGTTAAATACCAAGCTTGTGGTTTACTTCTATTGGTGTGTCAGCTGGTTTGCATGCTAGCATTCCAGTCTCAGATAACAAGTCTAGAACATATTTCCTTTGTGACAAAGCTATTCCTTTTTTGGACCTTGTGACTTCAATGCCCAAGAAGTACTTCAGTTGACCCAAATCTTTCATATCAAATTCAGTGGCTAAGTGTTGTGTAAGAGATTTCATCCCCTCCTCATCATCTCCAGTCAAGATCATATCATCCACATAAACTATGAGAATAGTTATTTTTCCTTCCCTGTGTTTGAAGAATAAAGTGTGGTCTGCATTGCTCTGAGTATATCCATATTTTTTCATTGCTTGAGAAAATCTCTCAAACCAAGCTCTTGGTGACTGCTTCAGATCATATAGTGCCTTTTTTAACTTGCACACTGTATTCTCCTTTGAAGAAGAGAGCTTCACTCCAGGTGGCACATCCATATACACTTCCTCTTCCAATTCTCCATTCAAAAAAGCATTTTTTACATCAAATTGCCTTAATTTCCAGTCTCTGTTCGCAGCCAAAGAAATCAGAATTCTAATTGTGTTTAACTTGGCAACAGGAGCAAATGTCTCTTGGTAATCCACCCCATACTTCTGGGTATAGCCCTTAGCCACTAATCTTGCCTTGAATCTATCAATATTCCCATCCGCTCTTAATTTCACATTGAAGACCCACTTGCATCCGATTGTTTTTTTGTTTTTTGGTGGCTGCACTAGTTCCCATGTATTATTTTTCTGAAGTGCCTCCATTTCAACTTCCATGGCAGCTTTCCACTTAGGATCATCCAACGCTTCCTGCACACTATTCGGAATACATACACTAGATAGTTGATTAATGGTTAGAGCACATGATTCAGAGAGATTTTGGGTAGACATATAGTTACCGATTGGATATTTGGCTTTGACTTTTGGATCTGGTTCATAAAAGGATTTTGGTATACCTTTATTGGTACGGTCAGACCTTCTAACATGAATGAGAGAATGTTGAGATGTAGGAGTTATGGATAAGTCAGTTTGCATTTCACTAACCTGTTTAATTTGTGTTTCATGGTTCTGTGAGGATGAGATCCGAGGTGTAGGAATCAGACAAGAAGCTTCAGGATGTGCAGAAATATTCGTGGAGCTAGGAGATGGAGTAGAGGCAACACTTGATGGGAAAGAAGGGGCAGCAACCGTGAGTTTGTCTTGGAGACATATTTCTGCTTCTCCGAATTGATCTAAGACAGTCTCCCCTTGAGAAGGAGAAATGGAATCTCCCCCTGAATAATATGGTGTAGATTCATAGAAAGAAATTTCCAAAGAAACATGCATTTTATGAGAAATAGGATCAAAACACCTATATCCTTTTTGTGAATCAGAGTAGCCTACAAATACGCATTTTTTTGCCTTAGGGTCAAGTTTAGACCTAAGGGTTTTGGGGACATGAACATAAGATGTGCAACCAAAAATTCTAGGTTCAAGATTTGTGACATGAGGAAGAGAAAAATGGGACTCAAGTACTTGTTGTGGTGTTTTGAAATTAAGGGCACTGGAAGGAGTTCGATTCAAAAGATAAGCAGCGGAAGTTACAGCCTCCCCCCAATAACAGGGAGGAGCATTCATTTCAAAAAGAGAAGCTCTAACAATTTCCAAAAGTTGACAGTTACGTCTCTCCGCCAGACCATTTTGCTGAGGTGTATACGGACAAGAAGTTTGATGTTTTATGCCACGGGAGGATAAAAAATCAGAAAATAGATTGTTCAGGTATTCTGAGCCATTATCATATTGGAAAATATGGATGGCAGAGGAATATTGATTCAAAACCATAGCATGAAATTTTTTAAATGCAGAAAACACTTCACTTTTATGCTTAAGTAAAGTAATCCAGACCATACGAGTGCATTCATCAATAAAGGAGACATAATAATAAGATTTAGAAAATGAGGGAATTTTAGAGGGTCCCCATACATCAGAGTGGATTACTTGAAATGGAACAGAACTTTTATTAAAACGTGGGGAAAAGGGGATACGATGGCTCTTGGCCAAAACACAAGTCTTACATTGAAAATCAGCAACATTCAAATTAACAAACAACTGGGGAAACAACTTTTTGAGATAACTAAAAGAGGGATGACCGAGTCTCTTATGCCAAAGCCAAACATCAGTGGAGGGAGAAGCCAAACTCGAAACAGAAGATGCAGAAATTGAGGGGAAACTATCACGGATAGAGGAGTCCAAGAGGTATAGCTTGCCTTGTCTAATTCCATAACCAAGGATCTCTTGATTCTGGTTTCCCTGAAAAATACAGAAATTAGGATAAAAAATAACCTTGCAATCAAGGTCTGAGGTTAGTTGGCTGACAGAAATAAGGTTGAATTCAAGAGATGGTACAATCAAAACAGATTTCAGGGTGATTGTAGGAGATAATTCAATGGAACCTTGACCAGTAATAACTGAGGTTCCTCCATTAGCAGTGGAAATCACAGTTTTAGCAGTAGGATTAATATTAGTTAAGGCATGGGGAGTACAAACCATGTGATCAGAGGCACCCGTATCAACTATCCAAGTAGTATTGCGAGAAAGTGTAGAAAAAGCATGAGACATACCTAACAGACCTTCATACACCGCATTGGCAACGGGAAGAGAGGAATCAGTGGGCTCAGGAACTGAAGTCGTGGCCAGAGCTTTGAGAGCTTTCCTTCGAGGCTTCTTGGAAAAATCCCACCAATCAGGATATCCTTTGAGTTCATAGCAACGGGGCTTGGTATGGCCAGTATCCCCACAATACAAACAGAGAAAATGGTAGACTTGTTGGGGAATGGTTCCTTGCGGTGTCTGTTGGAAGAAGGGCCAGAGGAAAAACGTCGAACACTGGGATCTGTCAACTGTGTGAGCATAGCAGAGGGTTCAGTTGCAGGGTGTGGGCGACCCATAGTGATCCGTTGATGCTGTTCACGATGCACATAGGCGTAGCTGCCCTCCAAATCCAGCTTGGGGTCTTTGCGAAGGATTTCCCCACGGACGGAATCAAAGTCAGAGTCCAGGCGCTGAGAAAAATATGGACACGGAGACGAGCCATAGCAGAATGCATCTGAACCACTCCTTGAACCGTGCTTCCTTGAGATGTCAGACGGTAATCGATGTTCTAGAAAATTGAAACCAGGTCGTTGTAGTACACGGACAAAGGGCGTCCATTTTGCTTCGTGTTGAAGGACCTCTGGTTCAACTCAAACAAACAAGACTCATCAGACCCGTCGTAGAAGGTACGAAGCGCAGCGTCCCAAATTTCTGAGGCTGTCTCCAAGCGAAGAAAACGCTGCATGAGAGAAGGATTCATTGATTCAATCAACCAACTTTTCACTCTCTTGTTCTCTGTAACCCAACCGGCGTATGCAGGATCGTCCGCTGGTGGCTGTGTCGTTGCTCCGGTAAGATAACCGGATTTATTCCTTGCCCCAATTTGCATGTCCATCAATTGGGACCAAAGAGGGTAGTTGGAATCATCTAAAATTATGGTGACCGGGAACGAGGAGTTATCCTGGTGAATCACAATGTTGGAGGATGGTTGGGAAACCAAGGGAGGAATGGCGGAGTTGTGGGTGGGAGAACCAGTGTTCTCTGTGTTTTCTCCGTCGACGTCCATTTTAGGGATTGAAGTTTTTGGGTTTGGGAAAAATGAAAGCGGGTCAGTGTTGTTTTGGTTTGTTGAAGTTACAGGTAGAAAGAACAAGCATACGGGTACGGGTATGGATATATGAAAAGTGGCAGTAAGGAGAAAACGTGATAACTATTTTGGGGGGATAACTATTACAGGTACGTGGCAGTAAGGAGAAAAAGTTGGGGGGTTACGTGTTAGTGTTAAGGAAACACTAATATGGGTGGAAAAAAATTCCGAGGATCAGAACTCTCGTGATACCATGTTAAAATTCAACTCTTGGTAAAATAATTCTTCATTCATACTGAAATGGTTCCTCCTAGAGGTGTATTTATACAGAGTAAATAACAACTCAGTAACAAACTAACAAATTCCTAGGATCAGAATTGTAACAACTTTACTAAGAAACAAATTCCTAAAAATAACTTAGTTAAGATTCTAGAGAATACAACAATATTTCAAACTACAACTTTGAATTTTTCTTTCTGTTTCAACATCAAAGAATTGAAATTTGTGAGAATACTAGAGGAAGTCAAAGAAATAAAAAAATATTTGTTTTATTTTCTATAAATGAACGGTCCACGGCTGTTTTTGTGTGATACTTTTTCATGAAAATTTCTTAGTACAGCATCAGATGTATTCAATTAGGTACATCTTCTTTCTAAAAATGAAAAAATTTCTCCCCTTTAACTTATATTTTTATCTAAGTCACAAAACTTTTCCTTTTCTTGTGCAGGATCTATCTATTTGTTCGGCTGGTTACCCATTTTCCAATTTCTGCTTCCAGTAAAGATTTTGGGTACGTCGTGTCCTGTCTCTTTGACGGATCCTGTACTACCATTATATATATATGCTTTGACCAGTACCTTTTTTTTTTTTTTTTTTGGGATGATTTGTTCAGGTGTACTACTACTTCTTGGAATGGAACTTTTCTCGCTAACCTTTTTTGAAATTATAACAGGCGGCGAAGGTACGTAAAACCAAATGCAAAAATTTGGTTCGTGTTCTTAATTTCTCCCTTAGCCAGTTAATAATATACAATTTAGTTAGTCATTTTCTTTTTGCTTAATTCGATTTAATTTTCTGTTACGACCCGGCACTAAGTCTCTCCAACTGTCTCAGTATATAGGAAAATATATGATGAGAAATATGCCCATTACGAAGTTCGAGGAATATTGCTGTACTTATACAAAAGTATTGCGGAGTTTAATGATTCACAGCTCCAAGCTGCTTCGGCGTATGATGCCATGTTGGATGCAGCCAAGCATGGAATTGTTGAGTTCATAAATGTTATGAGGAAGGCTAATCCTGACCTCTTATGGGCCATGGATAGCAGTAAGAGAGGCATAATTTCGTATGCAATTCTGAATCGCAAGGAAAATGTGTTCCGTCTCATACTTGGTCTCAATGGACAGAAGCAGATACATAAATATTGCACAGACGTGTTTGGCAATAACCTGTTGCACCTGGCAGGACATTTAGGACCTTCCTCTGTACTTGATAGAAGTGTCGGTGCTACTCTGCAAATGCAAAGAGAGATTCAATGGTTTGAGGTTATTCATCTTTTCTCACTTTATAATGATATCCGTATTTAATATTAATGGTGCAAATTAATCACAAAGCTTGGTTCGTTATTTTACAAACCAATATATTTGGAGTTGACAATATTGTTGTTTTTATTTATTTATTTATTGGTAAAATGTTGTTTTTTATTTATTAGATATTTGTACGTACGTGAATCTCTTAAAAGACAATCGAAGAACGGAATGGGACTCATTATTATTGTCTTATTAAATTTAATTTAAGTGCACTAAATGTAATGTGAATTTTTATCATGAGAGAATGCTGGTAAATCGTATTTTATGAAGCATTATCTTAATTCTGTAATTATATATATATATATGGTTCGTGCCCATTTTGTAAGAAATATTAATTAATTCGTTACGTACCACTGTTACAATATTTCTGTAAGAGTAACATATGAAATGATGAATGCAGGCGGTTAAGGAAGTTGTGAATCCCAAGTATAAGGAAGGCAGAAATGACGATGGTAAGAAGGCACATGAGGTATTCACTGAAAATCACAAGGAGTTGATGAAAGATGGAGAGAAATGGGCGAAAGAGACGGCTGGTTCTTTTATGCTTGTGGGTATTCTCATCACTACTATCGTGTTCGCTGCGGCCTTCACTATCCCGGGTGGAAGCAATCCTGATAATGGAATGCCAATCTATTTGCATAACAATATATTTGCTTTGTTTTTCATATCAAATGCAATATCTTTCTTCACTGCTGTCACTTCTGTCTTGATGTTCATCGCGATCTTCACATCTCGTTACGCTGAAAAAGACTTCCTCTCGGAGGTGCCTGGGAATTTACTGCGGGGCTTAATATTCCTTTCCGTGTCTCTCCTGTCAGCGATAGTTGCCTTTTCTGCTGTGTTTGTTTTAACCCTTCAGGGAAATCCGTCCTATCAGTCTTACATGACAGTGACCCTCGATGTGTTTACAGCTTATCCAGTTTTCGGACTCATGCAGTCACAGCTGCGCATCATGCGTCAGATTTTCCGATCTATGAGATCAAATTGAAGATTTGCTCCTAATGAAAAAAATTGAAGATGACAATACTTACTCATCCTTTTTTCTTACTTGGAGAAAATGTTGTTGAGAGAGAGTTTGCTTTGGCAGAAAGGCAAGAAAAGTCTCGGGCTTGAAAATTTGTAATTTGGTGGTGGCTAAAGGGATGGCTACTAATAACAACAGATGTGTGTGACAAGAGTAGCTAGTTCCGTTGTCAAATGCATAATCGTAATCAGCTGTGGACGTTAGAGGGAGGTTGTACGGTTGTTAGTTTGAAGTTAGTTGTTAACTTTGTAGTTGATCAGTTAGGTGTTTGTTATAGTTTCTGTCTTATTCTTAAAAGTACTTTTTCCTTTTATCCGTTGTTTCTGTCTCGTTCTGTAAGAGCTAGGAGTTTCTCTCCCGGCATATACCCAGCTGAATGCTCGCATCATAGTTATATTTAAACTAATGCTACAGTCACAATTATTTTCATTTTGTGTGTGTGTATGATTTGAATCTAACTACATTTGAATAGGCTGCTATATATATATATATATATATATATATATATATATATATATATGCGACTTAAATTGTAACAAATTTAAAATCGAATCAATTGAAAGGAAGGAAAAAAAAATCAGATGGAAAGAAGACTTGTGACATATTTATCATTTACCGAACGCCACGAGGAGCTGGTGAGAAATGAGCAACAGACACAGCTCATTTTTATACTCTCATCACCACTATCATGTTTGCCACCTTCACCGTCGCAGGTGAAAACAATCAAGATAATGGAATACCAATTTTCTTGCATGACAACATATTTGGTGTTTTTGTCATAACAGACACGGTATCTCCCTTCACTCTTCATTTGGATCCTCACATCGCATTATATATGCTGAAAAAGATTTTCACATGATCTTGCCTTATTGAAGGCCTTGTCACCCTTTTCTTGTTTGTTGAGTTCATGATGGTTTTTCTTTTTCTTTTTTATGTGATGCGGTGGGTATGACGCCCAAAGGATATTAGCGGCTTGTCACTTGCAAGTATTCCAGTTGTGGTATTCATGCCATCACAGCTACGCCTCTTCGTTGAGGTTTTCAAGAGATCAAATATGTTCAGTTCTGTTAAGAAAGAGAACAATTGGTATTAAGTATAATATCATAATTCTCAACTTATATCTGTTTAGAACTCAAGGAGAAATGGTGAGAGGAGGCATGACTCTGAAGGGTTGAGTCACTTAAGGCTATTCGGTCTCTAGGCCCCATTTTACAAGAAACTACATTACTGGCTGTTATCGCCGAACAGGAACTCCCTCTGCTTAACCGTGGTCGGAGTTTGAATATCAAAATTTTGGCATGAACAATAACTATTTCAATTTTTAACTAGATATTAACCGGTTACTGAAAAAATAGACCATGTTCCCGTAATAGCAGCATAATGGAGCAATCACAGCAAATGAAACAAAATAATAAATTTGGACTTACAGTAGTGAAGATAATGATACTTCCAAGAATTAAATTTACTAATTACTTAGGTATGCAGAATCCATATTGTCAAATTCATGAAATATCGAAGCTTGATTATTCAACATAAACGAAATAATAGTCGAGTGCAAAACCATCCAATGTGGTTTTTTGGATTTACTTTTACAATTCATGAATCCACAACAAATGCAGTAAAGGGGTGTATTTTCATGACATCCCCCCATCAAATTCAATGCTCACAGGATCCTGCTTTACAAGATTCCACATTAAGACAGTACATAATCTCTAACTTGCAGGACAAACAAATCCATCCAGTATCAACGTCGTCATATTTACAAATATTTGATCATGCCACGACCTTCCACGCTCAGTTTTGTAGCCTGAAGCTGCCTCTTTTTTGGTGCCCTCAGCTGCTGTAACTTCTTATTCATCTGCGTTTAACAATTCACACGGGTCAAATTGTCTACAACTATACTAATAAAGATAACAAGGGACATAGTTTACAATCTTCATTTTTGTCTCAATAATTCCAAAAAATCCTAATGTATCTGCATGTTTAGATTAGCTAATTTTGGGAAAATAATTGTTTTTTCGGAGCAGCTTCACCATGGAGCATTTGAACAAAAACATTTATTTTACCATAGATGATCCCAACCAAAAATACACTAAGTTGGATATTTGTTAGATAAATTAATATAAGTTTCAAGGAAATACAATTAAATAAATTGATATCCATATCTCCATTTTATCTCTACTTCCCTATCAGTTCACTATTATCCCCGTTACATATCCTCTTAACTAACTATACTATTACTTCTTTTTTAAATCTTTATTTCTACTGCATACACACACATACATTGTCAAAGCTTGATGTCAAATGACTATATAATTCTTATGGTTTGTTTGCACTCACATAGACATTTATTTGCATTAAAAAGTTACATTAATCTTTGTCTCATGCTAAAAACTTCACCATTGCTATAGCCCCACCCAAACTCTAGGGAATCTGCTTGTGGGTTGAAAATTGGAAAGGAGCAAAGATAAAAACAATCATTCAAATTAAAGCCATTCCCATACTATATATAGCTTAAAAATTGGAAAGGAGCAAAGATAAAAACAATCATTCAAATTAAAGCCATTCCCATACTATATATAGCTTAAAGACCAAAACAATCATCAATATCAGAACTTCAAAAATAAAACACCAACCTTCATACGCTGCTGATCTTGAGCAGCTTGTTTTGCTCGTGCTCTAACTTCTTCTGGATCAATTTTAGATTGAGGACGGATCACAAAATCTAAAGGTGTTGCCTCTGGCCTTGATGCATGTTGCCTGGAAGAGGACTGGCCAGACCTAGGCCTGCATTACAGTCAGAGAATTTACCATCCAAAATATAAATCAGTAACTACTCAAATCATACTGCTCTACAAGAAATATATAAACGCCAATCAAGCCTTACTGCGAAAGTTCCAAATCAAGATCACTGTCTCTAGATTCCATTCCTGCAGCTTTATTTGCCGGTCTGTGAGAGTTCAACAAAATTATATAAATTCACCACGATGCACTAAGCAAACCTAATACTGCAGGAGCCAAGCAATCAAAAAAAGAAAGGTATGTTTACCAAAAAAAGAAAGGTATAACATACTTTTTAACCAATGGCCTTCTGAAAGGAACCCTATCATCCTCAATATTTCTCATGTCTTCAAACCGTGTACTCTTATTAAATATAGGCCGGCTCTGCAATTCCAGTGCAAAGATAACATAAACATAAAAATTTTGTTTATAAAGAAGAAAACTACTACCATATAAAATAGATAACCTCATGAAAAGAGAGAATATGTACATAAAATAATGTCTTCAACAATCAGCAATTTTTAGTAACATTAAAGCACAAACACAACAGAGAAGACCACCATAGATTTCTTCTCAGGCACTACACTATATATCTTGATGAAAATCAAACAACTTTGAAGGGAAGATAAATGATTATGAAGGAGCAAGAGTTCAATCATGCATCACTCACCCATTTATCAACCAGATCCTTGGCTAGTTTCCTATTTACACTGATTTCTTCATCGGACTTCGATAAAAACATAATTACCTGTCAAGACAAAAAAAATAGTTTAAGACAATTGCTTCCACGAACAGGCTACATATAAGGGTGGGACTTGGTTTAAGCACTACCAAAATAGCATGTTAGTCACATGATTAACAGAAACCCAACCTTTCCAAGACCACTCTTCTTCAGTTGTTCTCTTCTATCATACTGTTCTAGGTCTATAGGAAACTGCATAACAATACAAATGAATAAGAAGCTTAATAACTTTGGGGGGAAAACCTGCATATAAAAATATTGTAATGGCATGAACTAGGAGTACATCATTCAAAATCTTCAAAATTGCCGTGCGTATGTTTATATTTGGCAAGCTTCCATCAGGCAGTGGCTCAAGCCAATTCTTCAATAAAGTTAACACTCCATGATCTAAAAATTCTAGTTGAAGCTGTTTCCTGCAGAATAGTTGGTGGAAAGTTATCAAAAAAGGAAAAAGAAACATAAAAGATTAAGGAAATACCACTCTGCACACTTAATTTGTCATGAAATCAACTGCTTACTTTGAGAGGACTTCTGTAAGAAGAGGCAACTTCTTGAGTTTATTAATAGCAGGCTTCGCCTGTCTATTAAGTTCAGCATCCTCTTCAGCCGTAACCTCAAGCTCAGCCATGACATTTTCAACTAACAAAGCTATTTCTGCAGGACTTCTCTCATTCTTCTTCCTTTTCTTACCTATCTTGAAAAGATCCTTGATTTCTTCATCCTCTTCACCTTCCTCTGCCTACAAAATCCATATAACAGACAAACAAAGTTATCAGAAAAGCCTTTTAATAATCGATGCAACAAATCTTATATTTGATTTCACAGCTAAAATTGTCTCTGGCCAAATTATTAACCAGTAGGAATAGCTGGAGATAACGAAAAGCTTAACCTCAAAAACACCCATTCATTGCATATTTTGATTTTGGTTTACAACATTCCACTGGTTGCAATATCTTCTTTGAATCACAATGTAAAAAAAAACAGACAAAATCTGATTTTGAGGAAATTTTAAGCAGAAAAAATATTAAGGGAATAAATCATCAACCTGGGGAGCATCACCAGGAGAACGAGGCTCATTGTCACTTCCATAATAAGCAGGTTCCACTCCAGTGTCATCTATGAAGTTGTCATCATCAACATTCCTGTCACCGTCGTGATCATCCTAATTAATGGAAAGAGAAAACTGGCATCAGATACAATTCACAACCAAAAGTGTAAGAACCACAAGCATCAAAAGAGATCTAGTCAATGAGCACCAATTAAAGGCTATAACTAGTCATGATCAGTAGGAGGAATATCCCCTATATTCAGACTTATAATTCCCAATCTCTCAAATATACAGTTTGAAGTTATAAAAACATCAAAATAATAACAACGATAATAAAGAACTCTTAACCCTCTTCTCCCCAAACTAAAGTCTAATTACCAGATAGAAGAATAACAAAGTCAATAAAATTTAAGCAATCACCCCTCAAACACGAAAGGGAATAAATATAGATCAGGGAAAATCAATACCTCAGAATCCCCCCCAGCAATTGTATCCCACATCTCCTTAACTTCGCCATCGTGATCCTTCCCAGCCTTCCCACCAAACCCTTTCTTCGAAACCCCAAATTTAGACCCCGCGCCCTTTCCACCGCTACTACTTCCAAACCTCTTCTCCCCCTTAAGCCTCTTCTCCTTCTTCCCACTGCCACTGCCACCGCCACCATCCTTCCCCTTCTTCCTCTTCCTCACACCCCCATCCTCAGACCTCGCCGGAACATTATCCTCTTCCTCCACCTCCTCATCGTAGAGCTCCGGCGCCACTGACTGCTTTCCGGCATCACTCTTCTTGATGAGCCTCTTCCTCGGCTTCGACCTTGATGGATCGGTGTCGTACACCGGAGTCTGCGACCGATCCCGACCGCGCCAATCGTCCACGTCATCCTCGAAATCGTCGAGCTGCTGAGGTTCCGGAGACGCCTCGCGATCCGATTGAACTTCGTCGAAGTCCATCAACGGTTCTCCGTCTTCGTCGCGATACCTGAAAGAAAACCAAAAGGAACGAAAATTCTGAATCACAAAAACCCAAACCAAAACCAAAACCCTAACGTGAAATTTCTCGAAAGAGAAAGAGGAAAACGTACGGATGATCTTCGTAACCCATGGCTGACGGTGATGAATACGCGGTTGCAGAAAAGGGAGCGAATTGAAAAAACCACGAACGAGTAAAAAGTGTCTCGGTTTGTGTATGATAACAAAGAAAAATAAGGGGTAATGGATTATGATTTTAAAAGAATTTTTGAATTAAAAAATCTACAGATTTTAAAAGAGTATTTAAAGACTTTTTAAAAGATTTAATAAGATTGAATTTTAAAGGTTTTGATAGAATTTATAAGATTTAAAAGAATAATATGAACTTATTAATTAATTATTAAATAATAAATTATAATTGTTAGATTGATAAAAATCAATTGTGATTAGGTGAGTTGTAAATGGTAAATTTTTTTGAAGATAAATATATTCTGCCCTATATAAAAAATATGTAGGCTTATATGAGAAGAAGAGAGGGGAAGAAAAAATATGAGCGTCATCACAGTTTTATGAGTGAGTATGAGATAAATTTATCTTTACAATATGAGAAATATTAAACCCTGAAATAAATTAATCATTCAACTGAAGTTTTTTTAAACGAATTATTATTTTTTCACTGAACTAATTTTAAGATTTTGAAACCATTGTAAAAGTTAAAAAATTAAATGTTAAGAGAAAGACAAAAGATGGACAATGATACTTTTAATTTATATATTAAAAAAATTGTTAACTGTGTTTTATGAATAAATACTAGATGAAAATAAAAAATAGAAAGAGAAATACATTCTGAACGAAGAGTTTGGTGTTTGTCATTTTAAATGACACAGAGTTATGTCATTTTAAATTAAATAATATAAATCCTAAGGGAGAAAGTGGTATTTTTTAATTTAAATTTTAAATAAAAAATCAATTTATGTCTTTTTTTTTGTTGAAAATATTCCAATCGGTTCATTGTTTTGCAACTAATCCGATTCGGGGCGGGTCCAGGATTAAGATTTTAAACCCCTCCCAAAAGTGATACTGTGAAGATTCGAACACATTTATGTCTTTATCTTTCTTAAAATGACATAATTCTATATTATTTAAAATGATAAACACTTTTTCCCTTGACAAATGTTGTTAATAAAATATAAGCGGTGATTTAACCACAAAACCGTTTTAAACTCTTTCATCATATATACTTCGTGATAGTTTTATTTTATTCTTAATTTAGTTAAATTTTATCTTAAATTAATAAAAAAATTAAAATTTAAACTTAGGGAAAACAAAACATAAATAAATAAAAAATTATTTTAAATAATAATGGAATATAAATAGATAATCTAAAAGGGGTTTTGTTTCAGGAATGGAAAACTAAAAATATAAGCATTGAATATCTTAAAAACGCAAAATATATCTAATACTTTCTTTCTTAAGTAATTAATATGAATAAGAGATCATATTTTTAATTCTTAACATGAATTAAAAGCCACATGTTAACAAAATTTTAAAAAGAATAAAAAATTTATGAAAAAAAAGGTATAAATAAAAATAAAATCAAACAGACTGAACTAATGAAATAATATTTAAAGTTTTAGTATTTCTCAAATCCTAGAGATTTTAAAATTGATATCCAATTATCTACTACTACCGGAGACCGAATTATGACAGTCATTCGCTAAACAAGCTTTGTATGAGTTCGGACCATGATTCGACAATAGAAAAAATAAAAAATGACAATTTTACCTAATGGGGATTCCACATCATATACAAATCCATACAAGTATATACTGCCTATACATTCATTTACCTAGGTTTGTTTCTCCACGCACTTGTGGTTTTACTCAAGCTGTACAATATTTTGTAATCACTCGAGTTTAGAATAGCAAACAATCTTTGACAACCAAAACACAGTCTAACATATAATATAACTATGGACAATGGCGCAAAGCTCCATGCATGAATTTAAATTCTTTACAGTCTAAAAAGTACAGTTAGAACCAAAAAAGAATGTATGGATAGAGTCTTCTAGTTATTAAGAAAGGGGTATTTGGATTCAACATAGTTTTCCTGATCCCATAGGAATGATCCAAAAGCAACGGCCTCCAAAACAAGCATAGTCAAGCCTGAGTAGGTGAGTGGGAGCAATTCATCATTGCCAGCTTCAATTGAACCATCATCAGAGACACGGATGTCAGGCCTTCCAAACAGGGCTTGAGTTTGCTTCTCAATCAATGATATAGCTTCCTTTGATCGTATGGTAGCAAGTCTCTGAAGTGTGTCTGAGTCCAACCGCATCACATAAGCTCTCAGTCTGAATGATCTGCCATCATCAAAAACTTCGTCATAAGCACGCACCGTGATCAGGGAATCAGGATCCCATAGCTTGTTTGCTGGTGATGGTTCATCAAAACTTACATTTGCTTTACCAAAATCCTGGGGAAGTGTTCCCGTTGACCTCTCAAGTTGAAACCGTTCATCAACTCGTTTGAGAAAGTATCCATACATTATTGAAGCAGCATACAACTTTCCCAGTTTAATTTTACTAATCTGAACAACTGTCTGGAGAGGACCCACAAGCCGATCTTCTAGTACTAGAGATAAGTGATTCTGTATCATCTCAAATGCCTCTGGAGAATGAACAGCTTCTAGTTTCTGCTCCTGATTTGGCCATAAATCCACTCGACCAGTAGGATCTGAGGTTGGTGATATTTTTGGGATCATTGAAATGTTTCTTTCCAAAAATTTATGTACAATTGAGCAGTACAATATCTCTTCCAATGCTGTACGTTTTTCTTTCTCTTTAATTTCAGCTATCCTCCTAAAATTCAGATTTGACAAAATTGATCACTTTTGCACTACCAGTAGCTAAACCAATAAGCAACCAATTGATGCAAATATATTCTTCTGCTCTAATTTGTTTCAATCTTCTAATTAATTTGCATTAACATGAGATGAAAAAATATAGGAAGTAAGACTTGTGTGCACATATGCAGCGCCTGCCCGCACGCGTGTTTATGTAAACAAAGTAAGTAGCTAGTCCCATAGGGCTGACAGGAAAGATCTTATGGGTATGAACAGCAATGCACTAACTAAGGATGGTTTCACTTATTCATGTGTATGTGTGTGTGTTTATATAAACAACATAAGTAGCTAGTTCCATAAAGCTGACAGACGGGTATGAGCAGTAATGCACCAAGCACGATCTCAAACTGATATTTTAAAGAAAATATGGAATCACTAATAATTAGATCCAAGTTTTATTTCACACTCTTACATGTTAGTTATGAGTGCCATTGAAATTTTTTTCTTTTATCCAGTCATATAATAGACACAAATAAACTTTCAAAAGTAGCTTATCCAAAAGACGTAGCCTTACATTTTACTCCACTAAGCAATGATTATTTATGCATATTTCAGTAAGACAATGAAGAAATTCAAGAGGGAAAAAAAGATCATAGAACTAAGCCTAATACTTAAACTATGCAAGGAAACCTTTATACTAACAATTCACACATAGACCTTTTTTGCCGGAAAGATGTAGCATAGGATAGTCCAATATCTAGTCAGAGCAATTGAAAATTTGAAATCCAGGACCAAAGCTTCAAGAGATTGTATTCTTAGTTACTTACAACTCTGAACCTGATATTTGCTATGGTTATCCTAAAAGTCCTTTGATTGTTTAAAGTTTTCCATTCCAAATAGCCCCTTCTAATTAAGTCAGGGGAAAGCAGGAAAGAGAAGAAGAAGAGATTGCATTATTTACTTGTAAAGGGAATCATGAGACAAAGTAGAAGATTCTTCTTTATGGGCATCTCTAGCAGTCTGAAGGTTCTCTAGTTCCTGATCAATGGCTGCCGGTAGTAGATGAGGATGAGTTCGTGAAATTTGTTCCAAAAGCTGACCAACTGGTGACTCAAATTGGAGAGGAGCCAAAGGTACTGAATTATCACTTGAATCTGCTGACGCTCTCACAACTGAGCCTCTAGCTCTGAAATTGTAGAGTTCATTGTAGTGCTTGGGATTGTAAGATGAAGGACAGCTCTAAGAAGAAAAAAACATTTTAGAGGTGCTTAGTTGATAATAAAATGGAGATAATAATTACTAAATTACAAAAACCTCTGCCTAAAAGTCATATACAAGAACTAAAATAGGAGATACAACATGCTGATGTTAAAATAGATAGAAAATTATAGCTTTTCAATGCCATCACGATACATAATACATAGGCAATGTTGACTTAAATTCTTAGGTTAAGTGTTTCTCTAATCAACCTTCAGCTTGAAGTGGAATGATGTGGGCCTTATAACCAAACTTTATTTTCTCCGCAAAATGATAATTATCATAGAAAATACTGATATTATTCCATATGTTTTTTATTTTCCTATCACAAAATGGCATATGATTTAGTAATATCTAAAAACCAGTTTGAAAAGACCACATACCACATTAAATCTTTAAAAATCTCCTATACAAGTCTAACTGACATCTTGTGCAAATTTCTAGGCAAATAGCAAGAAGTGGGTCTAACCATAATATAAACATTGATGATAAATTAATTAGTGTAAGTACATAATGGATACTTCTAAAAGAATACAAGTACCCAATTTAATGGGGGGAAAAGGTTCAACAATAAAATGGCATAAAATGGCATGAGTAAAGACTAAAAAACAAGACATAAAAAGTAAGCATGAATCAGAATGTCCTACCTATTAACGAAAATTGCATATTCATAGGCTACATATTGAAAAGAAAAAAAAAAATTAAGGATCAACAAGGTATATTAAAGCAATTTTTCTGAAGTTAAAGGGAAAAGAGTTAGATAAATGGAGAGCCAATCAAGCATGAAAACAGAGGGGGGAAAAAAACTTCTATGTAGCTGTGTCAATATAATTAACATTTTCATGATGAAACTTAATGTTTTGTCAACTTAAATATATGAACTAAAACAGCAACAGTAGGGTAAGTATCATTTGGCCAAAAGATTTTACAAGTAACCAAGGTAAAAAAAAAATTAAAAATTAAAAAATTAAAAAAGAAAGAGTGGACAATATTCAACCCACAATTATAACACAGTCATATAGCAAGAGTCCATTTTAATATATACTCTATTTTACAAAAGCTATCTATACCTATAATTAAGGGATCGTTTGTTACTAGTTCCATTTTTCCTAAATTTTGGGAAATCACCAAATTTAGCGGTTCAGTTAGCTTCCAAGGGAAGACAATAAATCCCTATCCTCAAACTTTATATCTATCTAGCCATAGTAAGTTCATTACAAGCAAGATAGAAAAATTCATAACATTTTCGAACACAGTATCGGAAGATGTAGATAACAAGAAAATAAAGATGAAATGATAGAAAGCTTACTTTAAGAAATCCACCAGAAAGAAAATTCTTGGCGTCAGAAACAGCAAAAGCATGCAAGTGGCGGAATTCTGGTTGCCTGACAGATGCCGAAGGTGGAAGCACCACCAAGACGTCACTGATAGCACCTGAGACTTGCATTTTCAAAATCGTGGCTTTCGCAATCCCAAGATTAGGGCTATATTAGACAAGAAGTGAAGGCCTAAGAAGGGACAAAAGGGTTGTTAAAACAGTTTCTTGCGATAATAATTAAATAAATGTGAATTTTAGAAATCTTGATAAAAAGACTCACCTTTCTGTCTCCAGGTACAAATCTTTTCGAACCCAGTTTTTGATGTAGTTTCTGATGCCACCACCCCAAATATGAATAAAGATTGAAAATGAAAGAATGAATTGAAGGAAAAACCAAAGCAACTGGTGTTAGTGTTGAGCAAGCTCTTACCTTTTCTTTTCAAATTTGGAATCTTGGGACTCCAAATTCGTGGCTTCGAAGTTTAGGAAAGTGGGTCTGACTTCGATCAAAGTTTACTCTGTGGTGCAGTGATTGTTTGGAGGAGATGCACACGGCACCGCCGAAATAATGAGGTGTAGAGAAGAACACGGATAACACAAGCGTCAAACGTGTGTGCGGGAAAATATTTTTTATTTTATTTTTTTATCATGGGATGGTTTATTATGTTATTATTTCTATTTTAATTTTATATCAGTTTTTTTTAGTAAGCTATCAGTTATTCTTTTAATCAATTAACTAGCATGTTTGTTATGATTTATGTTAATATAAACAAAAGATAATAATCAATAGTACGTAATTAACAAATAAATAATTCTTATATTATAGGAATATTTTTAGATTTATATAAAATTTAAAAAATATAAATAAAAAATATTTAATAGAATAAATATTGAAAATTATGAAAAGTATGTATAATTATTTGAAGTAAAATTTAAATCACCATAAAAAAATTAAATTATAAAACTATATATACAGAATTAATATAAAAAATTTAAAATTTAAAAAAAGTATTTAACTCTCAAAAAGAATATAGTGTAATATAATGTATAAAAATAAATTATAATTATAGAATGCAAAATTGGGACATTATTTGTACAAGTGTTCGACTCAAAGTCACCACTTGTGAGGAAGGCAATACTGAATAATTTTAGAGATATTTGGTATAGGAGAAAATTTTTTTGACCAATCAGATATTTTTTATAAGAATATAGTTGGAAATTTTTTTAGTCGGGTAAGTTAAGACAATTTGTTTGGTTGCCTCAAAATTTTTCAGAAAAATTAGATGAATTTTACTGAAGTTATATTAAGATGATTGTAAAAGAGTGATGAAAAATTAAGGCAAAATTACAAAACTGCCCAATATTTTGAATATTGAATTTCGTTGTTAGGAAAATGTTACTATTCTCTGTATCCCTCTCAACGTTGTCGCGGGGTAATTTTGTCTCGCAAAATTTCTTTATTTTGTCAAATGTGTGGGAAAAAATTGATACCACATTTTTTATGGCAAAGTTACACAACCAAATTATGAACAAAATCAGTTGATAGCTAAAAAAATTTACCCAACTACTTTTTTATTCATTCACCTATCAAACATAGATATTAAATTTTCCACACCCTTTTCTTCGGGGAAAATATTCTTTTGCCACCTACCAAACATTCCCTAGTAAAAAAAATATCACATGGTCAAAGATAAATCAATGATGATAAAAATATTTTTAATCTAATATTTTTTTCTTTTATCATTATTGATTTATATTTATATGAATATTAAATAACTAAATGTGCTATAAAAAAAAAAAAAAAACAAATGATCAACTTCCAACCTCAACGCTCTTACTAAGGCTTTGAGTGTGGCTTAAAATTTAAACTTACTCGTGTTCGGATTAGCTAGGTAGTTAATGAACTTTGGAAACTAAATAAAAAAATTTAATGAGTCTCATAAACTCTTTTATATATGTAAAAATAAAATTATTTTTCTACGAGACGATAAATACGAATCCCATATTCATTTTTTCCTTCGCTGTCAATCCGGGCTTATGTTTTTCTGGTCGAATATATTACGGGTCGAATCCGTGATAATAATACATTGAAAATTTCTGGTTCAACCCTTATCCTTCTGATTGCCCTAACTGGCACGGAAGTTCCCGGTTTTCTGGAGCAAATAGTAAGAGGTGGAGAAAATGGTGTCGGGGTTAATCAACGCGAACCCTATCATATACGAAAAGAAAGAGCGTCGAGCTCGCACTGCTACATCTCTTCCCGATGACGACTACGCTGTCGAACCAATCGACCAACTGGAAGTTTTTGATATCCTTTTTCGAATTTCGAATTTCGTTTCGGTTTTTGTTATTTTTATTTGTTTTTCTCTCTTCCTGTTCAATAATTATCGATTAATTCCGTCAACTTACACAGAATATTGATCTTAATAACGATAATGTTGCCTTAACATTCTTAAATCATCTAAGAGATATCAAGGACCCTGAGCACCCGTACTCCTTGGAAGAGCTCAAGGTGATTACAGAGGAAGCAATTGAAGTCAATGATCAGAATAGTTATGTTAGGTACTCGTGATGTGATTTTTTATTTTAATTTAATTTTAATTATGTATTTTTTGAAACATTGGATTTCTAGAATTTTGCTTCATGCTTCATATGGATTATGGGATATTTAATTTCATTGTTTTATTGGATGATAATTGTGATTCGCTTTAGGGTTACGTTTACCCCAACGGTGGAACATTGCAGTATGGCGACAATTATAGGTCTATGCTTACGGGTCAAGCTCATGAGAAGCTTGCCTTCGAGATACAAGGTATTCTCGACTTTTATGATTTTTGTTCCGAGAAGTAACTTGATGTAATGATTGATACTTGGTGAGGCAAAACATATTGATGGATTGTTTTATTATGATAACGCATGATTGATAGAAGATGAATAACTTGTTTCACTTGTAAAACTGTTTAGAGATTAGAGAGAGAGAGAGAGAGGGATACTTATAATATAATTTTAAAAGTAATGAATTTATTTTTTGCAATGGTGATTTATGAAGTGACGCAAAAAATGTGTTAGTGAGTATGAATTGTAAATTTAATATTGTATAATGGCAATGCTCAACAATTATGAATCTCTTGTTCTTGCTTGAATGGTTTTCTGGCTTCTCACAAAATAATCAATATTAGATACATGGGATGCGTACTGTGGTAGAGGCAGCACACCTTTTTTCTTATAAGTATTATGCTGTTTCCTTTGATCTTTAGAATTTGCTAAGAGTGGCAAATAGTAATTGTAGGAGGAACTGAAATCCTCCTAAAACAGAAACAAGAACTACAAGGAGCTTAAAACCGAATTCCAGTCTCTTTGCTTATCAGATAAAGATAGATAACTAGTTAAATAACCAATGAGCTTAAACTGAAAGCCACAAGGCGTCTAAGAAAATAAGCTTATCCCACAAAATATGTGAAAAGGAAGAGAGCTCTAGCTAAAAATTTTGGAACCTAGGCCGGAAATACGAAAGTAATTCATAACTCATAATATTTGGTGTTTAGGCTTGGAATAGTCTGTCACAAAGCCAATCCTCTCTTGATATTAATGCTCTCTTGAGTTAGATTGATGCTACATAACGAGATTTACATAGGAACACATCATGCCAATGGTATGTATGTCTTTTACTTACATGATATCCTACATTTTATTACCATCTATCTGGCATCTCAACCATAATCCACTCTTTGTTTTTTGCTTTTCTATATCATTTTTATATTGTTAACTAATTATATCATAGTATATATTGTCAATCTCTGGTGTTTATACTTTATCAAGCATAATCTGTACCTTCCATGGTTCTTTTTTTTAAAAAAAAAATTAGAGAATAAATCTATAGTAATTACTAATTAAATCAAATATTCAACTGATCTTTGAACCCCTATGCTGTTTATGTTTTGATTATGTTTGTCTTTGATAGTATTTATTAAATTCTGGTCAGGTTGATATCAGAGTAGCACCTGGATCTCATGCAACTGAAGCTGCAGGTTTTTCTTCCTCATCTTTCTTTCTTTCTCCCTCTGTGTATGTGTTACTGCACCCATGTTTTTGGTGAGGTTTTTATTTCTGTGCACTGATGCATTCTGCACTACTTTAAATATTGATCTAAAAAAATCTTACTGCTTATGTGATTGCGATTTCTTTCTTGAAGTAATACATGCTGTTGATGTATCTGTAACAACACATCTGACATATATTTAGCTTCTTCTTTTTCTTTCTTTTTTTGGTGGGTGAAAGACATAGATTTAGTGCTTCATTTTATTTAATGATTATCTGACTTTCGTATATGATGCTCTGAAGGAATCTGTGAATTGCCACAAGTGGCTCTGACCTTGGTTGATTATTTGAATTCTCACTTACAAATCATTGATCATAACTGGACATTCACACTTCTTGTATTCATTTTTTTTGTGCGTGACAAATGTGTATGCAGTTAACAAACAGCTAAATGATAAAGAGCGTGTGGCTGCTGCACTGGAAAATCCAAATCTTGTGGATATGGTTGATGAATGTCTTGCTCCATCTTATTATTGAAGGAGCTTTATCTACTTCCAATGCAATGAAACTCTAGGGGCTTTTGTGCTTGTCCTCGAAGTTGGTAGCTTTATCTGTCTGTATGATATTTTCGGTTGCTGGCATATTGGTCATGCAACTCGTGCCTACTCCACGTATTTGTAGTTTAAATAGGAATACGCAATTGAAAAATGCGATAGTTGAGTGAGGTACCAAAGTTCTTTGATTGTTAGCTGTAGAAAAGGAAAATGAAATTATTTTTTATGTTTTGAAGTTGAAGCTTGTGTTTCATAGGTAAAACTATTTATATACCTTGTTTGATTGAACCTACCTTTGCACTATTAAGTGAATTTTTAAAAAGGTTACATGAAGAGAAGTTGCAAAAGGGCAAATCTCATATTAGCTACTACCACTGGTGATGGTAATGGTTGAATTCTTTACCCACAAAAACTGATAATAACCGTGATTGAAAATATCAGAAATCGACCAAGTACTGGTTAAAACCATAAAAGACATTGCCAACTTCATAAAATAAAATTATCTATCAAGTTAATATCAGGTAATTACTGATCCACAAATGTATAAACAAAATTTGAGGTTAAGGAATTCAACGAACGATGTTAAAAAAAGTGATTTTTGGTTGTGCGTATTCACTTTTTTAATTTAAATTTATTAGGGGGTGTATTGGATTAGGATTTTAAAAGACTTTTTTGAGATAAAAAATCCTACAGATCTTAAAAGACATTTTATAATTGGAGAGACTTTATAGACTTTTTTAGAAGACTTTTTTTAAATCAAGATTTCATAGGATTGGATTTTAAAGGATTTTAATAGAATTTATAAGATTTGAAAAGACAATATGGATTTATAAGATTTTAAAAAACTATATGAATTTTTAGCAAATATTCAAAATTACAAGAGTCAATAAAAACAAATCACAAAGAAATGCAATGATATTAATAAAAAAAAGTAAACTTGACAACGGGTTGAAAATTATCTCAAAAATTACTAAACAACAACTCTCCACATATCAATAAAATCTAATATAATTTTCTCAATGAGTTTGAGTTTGAGTTTGATTTGCGAAAACAATAATCATATATCAACGGTTAACTTCCAAGTTAAATATTAATTAATAAGTTTGATTTGTTAAAATAATAACCATTGATTGAAGGAAATCAACGATTAAAATATGGCTGTAAACAAAAATAGGTTGTAAGTATAATATTCTCACATAAAAAAATAACAAAGAAATGCAATGAAATTAATAAAAAAAAAGTAAAACCTAATATAATTTTCTCAATCAATAAACCATAATATAATTTTTAACAAACATTCAAAATTACTAAACAACAGCTTTTCACATATCTAATGGGTTGAAAATTATTTTCTTCATTTGGTATCAAAGTTATGCATATATGATTATAAGACCCAATTTTTTTTAATTATAAAAATAATTCTAAATTTGCATATAGAACCTAAAGTTCATGATAAAATTTCGTTTGAAATTTTTTGCAATTGATCTTGAAAACATTGGGGTTTTAGTTTTACGTGATGAGAGTTTTCTAACCATATATCATATGCATATTTTCATTGAATATTCTAAGAAAATTTTGAATATGAAATTTTGGGTTTAATTACATGAAAGTTTAGAAAATTTCTCAAAAAATTTTCAGTCGATACATTGAAAGTTGAAACCTTAAATTGCTTTGGGGCTTTTGAGAAACAAGTTTTTAGTTATCTATTGACACAAAAATTGTTTGAAATTGTTTCCTATAGAGAAGGAATTTCGTTCATAAATGTATTGTTACGAAATATATGATTCATATTATGAAAGTTTCAATCTTTCTTTAAATTGATATTGCTTCATTTATGTAAAACGAAAATTGGTTTGAGGGTTTTAGTTTTCCTGTTTTTTTTTCACTGTTTTATGTTTATTTTAATACAAAAATCACACGCTTTTGTGCCAAGAAAAATCGCGACCCATAGCTTGAAAAATCACTTTTTAAACTTCCAAAATTTCTCAAAAATAACTCAAAAATATGTTATTTTTGAGATAGATTATATTAAAATCTCGTTGGTTTGTTGTTTCTCGGTTGTTTTGTGATAAAAATCGCTCAAAAATATGCTCTCTTTTTTAGTTTTGATGAAACTCCCATGGCGGAACCCAATTTCGAGCAGTCAACCTGCCAAAGGAATAAGAAAACACTGCAACAGAAGAATCTCAAGAAATCCTAGGGGTTGGGGTGAGATTGTGAGAGAGACATCATATTTATATTTTTCACTAAAAAGTCTCACGAAATCCACACCAATAGAAAATCCATTAAAATCGTCGGATTTTTTGAATACCACGAGATTGTGATTCCATTGTTTAAAATTCTGATTGAATACCAACGGATTTTAAAATAATCCTTTAAAATTCTAATCGAATATCACGTGACTTTTTTTCAATCTATTAAAATTCTAATCAAAAACGGATTTTTTTGTCCAAAAACATTCTATTATAATCCTTTGAAATCTCAATCCAATACACCTCCTTAGATTATCGGAGACCTTTACCCACGGTAAGATGGTATATTTTTCAGTGTACGTAGTGTGATCGCATATTGAAATTACTAATATATAGTGAATATAAGAAATCTCCACTCAAGCAATAACTAGTTTTAACTACCTATTGCATAAGCTGCAAATTTTGCTTCCCTGTTCTTTTCTTTTTTTGAGTTTCTTCAAGTATCCCTCAGTCAATAGTTGAAGACTAATTCTTTCGAGACGTAGAAATCATCGAAATTGATTTTATCTCTACCAACAAAACAATTTTTTATACACACAATTATGGATCGAACTCCTGTCAACATATTTAAAGAATCCAGTCATCTACCAACTGTATCAGACTTTGTTGGTTCCTGTTTTTAACCCCTTCGCAAAAATTCCCAAAAGGCGGCATGGAAAATATATAAGGTCTGAAAGATTTAAAAGAAAAAGGTTGAAACAGAAGCTTCCTCCCTTTTTATTTTTAATTATTATTTTCAACTTTTTGGTATATAATATTTTTAATATTTTAAGTTAAATTTTAAAAAAGAAAATGACTATTGAAAGAAGGAACTCAACCTGATTAGATTTGGCCCATTAAAAAGCATATCAGCTCATTAGCAGAAAGATTTTCAGCCCAAAATCCAATAACATAAAATTATCCTGTATCTTGACCAAAAATCTCTACCCCAATGCATGTTAAGACTTAAGTATTGCTCAATTCCTGTCTCGGCTTTGGCGAGCCTATCGGCTTTTGCTGCTTGCTACATTACAAGAATTCGACGTTGATGAATGTCTTCCTCAGAGGCTGAAAGCTCTAATAAAAAGGATAATGATGCTTCTTTCCTAACCATTCTCAACACACTACATCACAGTGCAGAACATGTTTTAAAATGCTGTGAGGCATTAGAAATGTAGGAAACCAGAACAAACGTGAACAATCAAATCAGAACAAACATTTACTGCAAAGGAAGTGGTTATCAGAGCTGTGAGTAAGGCCGTTCACAGTTCAAGAACTTCATTGGATAAAACTGAGTTTGTTTATGCCATTTCTTACATGAGAAAGAACAATGCCTTTTGAAGGTATTTATGTCCATCTAAAAATAGAAAAGGTGAAATGTACCAAAAAAAAATAAAAAAAATAAAAAAAAAAGGTGAATTAAAGTGACAATATGAAAATAGGAATCTAGTAGCATTATCCAAACTTCAAATTTATTAGCATTTGAAATAGTTGTAATCTTATTTTTATTTTTTGTAAGGTAACAGAAATAATTGTAATTTTTCTTTTTTCTTTTTTTGTATACCAATGAAAGCAAAAACAGATTACAGGTCCAGGCTATCCCTCTATAATCCCTATTAACAGCTCCAAGACAAGCGTCTGGAGGAACATCAAAATAAACAGTCTCCTTTCCTAAAGAGGTAGCATAATTTGCAAGCCAATCCGCTACTCCATTCCCTTCCCTAAATGTGTGGACAAAGGTTACCTGCCATTCTTGGTCTCTCAGCAAAACAATCTTGTGGTATGGGTAACTAATGGACTGATGCAGACAATCCGATACAGTCTTGTCATAAATTTTGATAATATCAATTTCTGAAATCACGATAACTTTTGGCACGTCGGAACCCAGACTCCTATGCATGAATTTCATGATTTCACAGGGAGCGTAGTTTCATTTATTAACCAACATTAGCTACAAAGCCAAACCCTTAACACGAGGAAGATCTCGAATAAAAAATGATAACAATTAACGTCACTGATTTTTACTTTAGTCATCTTGCCCATCAACATAATTGGATAACAGATCCCCTCTGTTGATGACATAATTGAAATCCCTCAACATTCAACAACAGATTGACACAAAAAATAATTATATAGAAAATTTAACTCCCTCATCATCGGTTGAAGTTCCTTTAAAAACCACAAGCTTCCCCTTCTGTTCTAATAGTTTCAATGCACGATTCAAAATAGTTCGGTCTATCCCATGAAGCTCTGCAGTATATCAAAAAGAATGAGAGCCAGTTCCAGTCAAAACAATTGCAAAGTCCACCAGCATTTAAGAAATAACTAAAATGTAGTTATAATAAAAAGACCACTAAAAGGACAGTTGATAAATTTACAAATGTCTGATTATGCATGTGAAATAGGTCAAGGGCTATGGGCAAAGAGATGTGACAACACTCAAGGTGAAGTAAATGTAAGTCACTTCCCATTTCATAAAGAGGGGGCGGGGGTCAGACAAATTTACTAGCACCACACGATGTTTGTACTATGGATGCTGATCCAACAGATATGTCATGAAATTACACATACTAGACTAAGTCATGCTACTTAGAAACGCAATGGCTTTTGAATTCAATGCATCAAGGGGTTATCCCATAAGCTATTTGAACACAATGTATCTATCCTGATTTAGACGCCAGAAGTGACAAGGCAAGTCTATATTTACAAGTTTAAACATGGCATTCACCAATAAAATTATCGATTTTACTTTAAAATTTATTCTACTTTATTTTATTAGCCCTTCAATATATATATTAAGGAAAAGACATTTGTCCTTTTAAAAGATATAACTTTGTGTCATTTTAGATCATAACCGATGATTTCCATCAATCAACAAACTTATTAATTAATTAATAATTTACAATAAATTATAACCGTTGATTGATGGAAATCAACGGTTAGGATCTAAAATGACACAAAGTTGTATCCTTTAAAAGGATAAACGCTTTTCCCATATACTAAATTTAATATGCAAAGCCAAAACCTTTATAGCTCCCACTCCACTTAAAAGTTGGGGGAAAAATAAAAACCCCACCAAGTTTGATCCCGCCTCCCCTCTTGCTCTTACAAAAGGAGGAGAAAATAGTTGTTTTGAAGTAATCACAAAGAACCACTTCTTATTTTTTAATAACTTTTATTTTTAAAAATAATTTCTTTATGAATTACAATTCATAATCCAATTTCATTCATATTTAAAATACAAAATAAATCATTATACCACCACAAATAAAACCTTTTTTAATATATGCACACCATGGGTGCCACTGCTAACGGCATATAACATTAATGGATGAAGGTCATACCGACAGCTTTGCTACATTCTGTGTGGTTCACTTCCGACCCAGGGCAAGACACATATCATTTACTGACACACTTAAATGGGTAGTATGTAATATAAAAACCATATACTACAACAAAGACAGCTAACCATTATAGGTCAGCAATAACAGGCAAGCTAGAATAAAAAGTACTACATAATTACAATGTGAATTAGAAATTAGTAGTATATCAAAATGAGGAGCAATAAGAGTGAGTTTAAGACCTATTAACATTCTCCCCAACCTTTCTAATCTTAAAAAGGCAAAGGTTCAATCATCTTCAGTTGAATTTGAGTATAGGTAAAGAAATATATCTATTCAAATTTCCATCTACCCCCCAACCACCAGAAAGAAGGGCCGGCTTGGCTCAGCGGTAAGCTTGCTTGCCGTGGTGTGTCAGGTCGCGGGTTCGAATCAGCCTCTCTGCAAAAAGCAGGGGAAAGACTGCCTAGAGTATTCCCTTCCCCAGACACTCACGAAGTGGGTATTTGAACTGGGTCGGCCCCCAACCACCAGAAACCACATAAATAATCCCATTCAAAAGATAGGATTCAACCAAATTAAACCACTCCCCATTAAACCCCGACTAATGAGAGTGGGGTGAAGACAATACTTGTACGCAACCTTATCCTTTCATAACTACAAAGAAGCTATTTCCCGGGTTCGAACCCAATGATTTTTCAGTCACAAAGGAATAGTTTTACCACTGCTCCAAGCTTGCCCTCTAAGACTCAACTATCTTACTTGGAAACAAATTGAAAAGCAATAATATTTTTAAAAAGACCCACCAAAAGTATCACCATCAAGTCCTCTAAAAATATCGTCTCATGCATCACAAAAATGATCAGACAACTAAAATGAACCAGCAAATAATTGCCAAACTTGTCCTATCCCAAATTATAGCATACTAAATAGGACCTATAAGCATTAACAGATTACCTGTTCCTTGAGATTCAGTCCCTGAGCGTATTTCTTCAATTGTCACAACACTGTCTTCCAGCCCATTATCTTTTGCCTGATAAAAAATAAAGCAAATTCAAACGCAAGGCAATAAATAAATGCTTGCATGCAGTGGCTATCAAACTATCAATCTAAACTTACAAACTGCAATAAAATGTCAGCCCAATCTTGAATCCGATGCCATAGAATAAGACATTTCCTGTGTCCTTTATCCATCCATTCTGCTCGTCCTGTTGAATCAGAATAACACTTGAGGTATTTTTCTCTGAGCCAATTACAAGAATTAAAACCCCACAGCCACGACGCATACCTTCAGAAACTAAGGCTGAAAGGAACGCTTCTCTGGCTTCATGAGTAAGGGACCCTGCACTATCAGGAAACTGAAAACAATCATACGACATAAGGGTGGAAATAAATAAGAAAATTAAAGGAGCATTATGGGACTTGTCAAATCAATATCATTCATCGGAATTGGCAAGAAAGCAGGAATTTTGAGCTTACTTTCAATTACAGGATTTGAAAATAAAGGAAATTCTTCTTCTAGCCCAATTACAAATATCTTCTGCGTTCTACAGTAATCTAAAATAAGCTCTTTCCATAGTTGTATCTGCTTCTCTCTAGTGTCTCTCACCGGCTGCAAACTGAAAGGTATAAGCCAAGATTACAGGCCTAATCAACCACAAGTAATGACTGTCTCACTGTCAAGAATCTTAATAATAAGCACTACGCAATGAATTTTGCAAATAAAAAAGGGAAAAAAAATTGAATCACCCAACAATATCACAAGCAAGCTGATAAACTATCCAGCACAAGCAGCATACAGGTCCCAGCAACTAGAAAACAATTAATTTTTCTCCAAATTTTGGCACAGGAAATTTGGATCATATTTGAATATGCACAAAATGGGAGTCATTAGAACTCAAATTAACCAAAAAAAATTTGCAAAAAAATGGCTATTTGCCTGTTCATCGTTTTTGATACATCGAAGAAAAATAAGCTATTTTTTTTAGTAAATTAGAAAACTAATAAATTAATTAGGAATAAAAAATTCAGCGACGATTGATACCAAAGCACCCAAAATTGAAAAGAAAAATAAAATAAAATAAAACTAAAAATTGCAACGCATAGATAGGCAAAAGATGAAGGGTAAAAAGGGGATTTACGTGAAGTAAGGAGGGTAATTGAAGAAATGAGGTAGCTTGAACTCTCCCAATTTCTGCATATTTCAAGTTCTTCAATGCTATGCACAAAGATTAACGGTCTTCTCAGAAGCTTAAATAGTTTTCTGCAAATCACTTGCAGGCACGTAATGAAATATCGTACTGTGTCACGCGATACTTACGGGTATCTATCGTTTTCGCGAGTTATCGAGAGTAAAATTGTGGAGGGATTGAAAGAAATTACGGGAAACTACAACTCATCGAACCCTAGCACGACGACGTTGGAGGAAGAAGACCACAGATGAAGAAGCAAATTGTTGCATACCAAACGACAGCGTTTTGTACTAGTGCGCACACTTTCTTCTTTCTTTTTTAATATTTTGATAATTATATTGATTTAGTCCTTCAAATTTCATATGCATTAGTTGATCATGAGATTTGGTTACGCTAAAGATATTTTTATACAAATTTACTTGGGTTTTATAAGAGTTATGTTGTAGGAAAAGTGATTGTGTAATGTTATAGAGATTCGTTTTGCGTGCCTTAACTTTTTATTTATTTTTTTGTTTTAAAAAGTGTGAGTCCCACAAAATGTTGTGAGGGTAGAAAAATTTGTTATGTTATGTTAAAGGATAAAACGAAAAGGGTTTTTACTTATACTTTAAAAACCATAGGCTTTTTTTATTGTTTCTTGTATTTCTCTTAATGTAATTTTTTTTCAACCCTTCAAAATATCAGCTTGAGAAAATCAAAATTAAATTTTCTCAATAACTCATTTATTTTGTAGACTGAGACTTCGAAAACTCTGTTTTTATATAATTTATATGTACATTATAAACATGGTGATTTGTAGAAACACATGAAAAAATTACATTAACTTTTAATTTTTGTTTTACGTCGCTCAATTATACACACTTATTGTTGGGCTATTTGATCATTTTGCCCCTCATTAATAAATTAATAATCATTTTGCCCCTGATTCAAAACTATCCACCAATCTACTCTTTTTTAATCGATTAAATGGTTGTTGGGAGATTTAATCAACTAAATCTCCTTACTTAATCGATTAAAAAATCATACTGACTTGTTTCCCTTTGTTACCTGTTGGGAGATTTAATCGATTAAATAGGGAGATTTAGTCGATTAAATCTCCCAACAACCATTTTTTTCTGTTTTGACCATTTGATCGATTAAAAATGCAAGGTAGTCGATTAAAGAGGGGCATATTGGTAGATAGTTTCGAATCAGAGGCAAAATGGTTATTAATTAATTAATGAGGGGCAAAAGGGTGAAAAAGTCCACTTATTTAAGATAAGTGTATGCTAATGTACACATACAGTATTTCAATTAGTTTTTTAATTAAACCTGCATTGATATAACAAATAATCAACTGACAACTATTTTTTTTTTTTTTTGATAACAAGACAACTATTAATTTATACGTATATTGTATTTCATATGAAGATTTTATCAGGTGCAGCAAGATAATTCTTTTTAAACTTATGCTAACTTTTTTTTGTCTTATAAATGATTTCCATAGTCTTCGAATTTGAGACTAATCTAATCCGGAGTTCTAAGGAAAATGGTTTTTATTAAGTGCAATAAGATAAATTCTTTTTTGAATAAACACCATTTTGGGTCTTTAACAAAAAACATGATCCCCGCTTTAGTCCTTTATAAAAAAAATTAGTTAATTGGTCCCTATGAAATTCAAAGTGGACCCATTTTAGTCCTTTTGAGGGGGACTAATATGGATCTTTTTTGAATTTGTAAGGGATCACGATTTCAACTAAATGAGTTCACTTTGAACTTGTTAGGGACCTCGAGACTAATTTTTTTTTGTAAGGGACCGTGTTTTTTTATTAAGAACCAAAAACGATATTTACTCTCTTTTTTTAAAAAAAAAAAAAAACCGAAAATAGCACAATCAGAAATATGCTCTTCAATTTGTTTCTAGAAACCAGGAACTTCTGTGACAGTTTGTGTTCTATAGCCAAAAGAAAATAAAAGTTGTATCATTAAATTTATCTATTCAATGACCAATATCTTCTTTTGCTTATTCTTGGTGCCGCCATTACCATAACAGGTGAATGGGATACGCTAGATAACTTAACCAAAACCTTTTTCGTGACAACTTATATTCACCCCCTTTTAAGTTGCTTGTGTGCTATGGATAATGTTCTGGATGGCCCATACCAGAGATCCAGTGATGCAGGCCCAAACCTCATCATCATACTCACGTCAGCCCTGTTTAACCGTCACCACCAACTGTTTCTTTTATGTCCCCTAGGCGACAACACCCCCAAGGTGAGACACCAAAATACCTCACATTGGAATACCCACATGCTGAAGGATCACCTAGACTCCTTAAACAGGAACTTCCCTTCCACAACACCTCCATAGCAAGGGCTGCACCGCTGTCACCGTAGCAGTGTTAGCCACCCCTAGCACCCTCCAAGGAAAGTTGACCCAGCTCACCTACCCACACAAGGTGGGCATCTTCCCCTCCTACAAATACTCCTCCACCACCAGGCAATAAGGGAGCGTTTGGTATGGGAGAAATATTTTTTGACCGAGAAGAAAAATTGCATGAGAATATGATGAGAAGTTTTTGTTACCGGGTAAGTAACGAAAAGGTTTAGTTGATTGTAAAAAAATGATGGGAATATTTACTGAAATTACGAAAATATCCATGAATTTAAATATTGTTGAAATTCGTATTTTTTTTATACATTCATCGTCATTCTCTCTCTATCGAAGACTGTTTGGACTAACAAGCATCTGTAGATTTTTTTGTAACAAGTAGAAATTCTGACCGTGTGAAGCAGGGCATTTTCGTCATATTATGGTGTCAAGGATTTGCCACCAACAGGAAAAAAAGGTAACCACCCCTACAATGGCAAAAATTTTCAACCCATTTGTGTACAAAGTGAAAAGACAATCAGCTTTTTTTCCCAGCCACTTTTTCCTAATCCTCCTACCAAACATGGCCATATTATTTTTCCTATTCTATTTTCGTGGCCAATTATTTTTTGCCCCCTACCAAACAGCCCCTAAGGGATAATATGTATCGTTATTCTGCTAGTCTCTGTAAGCCCTCGTAACATCACACACACACACACCCCTCCAACTTATAAGCTAGATTCATACTTGGGACGTTACTACCTAACTTGGTCTCTACCTATGCTAATAGTATTAGCCATACAGTGATCTTTATCTCCTCAAAAGGAACATTAATGGCTTGTAGAACCCAACGGTACAGATAACAATATCATTGATAAAAGAGGATGCTTAAGAGTACCATAATGTCCAATCTTATGTCAATTGAATTTCTATTTACTACAATAACAAATGTGTGAGGGAAATGTCAATGATACAGATAAAAAAACAACTACTCAGTTCTAAAAGAAATCCTTAAGGCATAAATATAATAAAATTCACCAATAATCATTACATGAGCAAGTTCCATCTTTAAAATGGTGGAAGCGGTTACGGTCTCTTACAGTAATTTCTCGTTCATAGATCATGGAAATATATTTACTATATGTATGACAGTCACTACACATCCTAAGATTTCTTGATATTCTTATGGGAGATCCCTCTGATGTATGTATTAGTGCAAAAGCAATTGCCAACTTCTGACTATGACATTTCAATCTCTGCCTCTTTTCTTCTTCATCTACATCAAGCAACACCTGTGATGTATCTGGTACATAGCCTTCGAATTTCAACTGCCATTCCATTTGGTGAATCATATCGTAGATGCTATCCCATTGGGGTTGTGACTTGTCCTGTGAAACAAACTTGTAAACCTTCCTCTTTGCTTCAACCAAACTGAACCCTGGCGTTTGTACTAAGCGTTTATCAGCCATTTCTCTTCTGATCCTGGCCACATTATTCCACTTTTGAGCCTGTGCATACATATTTGCTAGCACCAAATAGTCCCCGGGGTTGTTAGAATTCAACATGAAAAGATTTTCAGCTGCAATTTCACCGATTTCTAAGTTATGGTGAACCTTACAGGCACTAAGAAGACTTCTCCAAACCACATCATTAGGTTTAATTGGCATACTCTTCATGAGGTTGTAAGCTTCCCTAAGCATCCCAGCTTTCCCCATGAGGTCCACCATGCAACCATAGTGCTGAACTGTTGGTTTAATCTTATGCTCAAATTGCATGCGGTTAAAACACTGTAGACCCTCGTCGACAAGACCAGCATTACTGCAAGCACTTAACACACCCACATAGACAACATCATCTGGTTCCAAACCTTCTTCCAGCATTTCTGAGAAAACTCTTAGAGCTTCCCCACCACGTCCATGAATGGCAAGCCCTGAGATCATTACAGTGTAAGAATATCTATTCTTCTCAGCCATATTTTGGAATACACAAAGCCCTTTCTCAAGGCACCCACATTTGACGTACATGTCAATTAATGAGGTTTTCACAACAACATTGAGTTCACTAATGTTCCTCAACAAGATCCCATGTATGCACCTTCCAAGATTAGGAGACCCCAAATGTGTGCAAGCAGAGAGCACACTAACTAGGGTGCTCTCTTCAGCCCTACAGCGTCCTTCACTGCTCATGTCCCCAAGAAGCATCAAGCACTCATGCCACATTTCCGCATTAGCATGAGCACCAATAACAGAACTCCATGAAGCTACACTCTTCTCATCCATTTGCTCAAACACATTATAAGCATGCTTTATTTCCCCACATCTGCCATACATGCTGATCAAGCTATTTTGCACAAACATATCACCTTCAAGACCTGCCTTAAAAACATGCCCATGAATTTGCATTCCTTCCTTGAGAGCACCTAATAGAGAACAAGCCTTGAGAAGAAAGGGGTAGGTGAAGTTGTCAGGTTCAATTCCACTTTCAAGCATCTCAATATAAAGCAGTAAAGCTTCTTCTAGATACATATTATTGACATTCCCTCTGATCATGGTGTTATATTCAAAGCTACCCGGTTCCTCAATTTGCTGGAAGATTGAGCAAGCATACTCCATGCTACCCCATTTTGTTAGAGCACAAGTGGCAACAAGATTGCTCCCACAGAAAGAATCCCAGAAAAGGCCCAATTTTAGAATTTGGGCATGAACTTGCTTAAAATCTTCCATGCTCTTGCAACTCTTGAGCAGAGACAACCATCCCTGCTCATTGAACCTTGTATTCAATTCAGAGCTTTGGGGTGGAATATTTGGTAGTGACAAAAGATGGTTTTGGCTAAGGACAGATGTCCCAGTCATCCTTTCATACACACCATGTTAAACCAGCAAGCTAAGCTAAACATAAAACACCATGCAACCCGTTACTTAGTCCAGAAAGTGATGAAACATTTAAATATAAGTAAGAATCTGCTAAAAATCCGAAGATAGAAACTGAGAAGAGACAGTTATGCACCAGAAAAATGTGAACTCTATGATCCATGATTGCAAGTAAAATTGATCATATGGCAGCAGAGTATTTAAAAGTGTGAAGCTTGGTGTGTAGTGATCCCAGTTTGTGAAATGGCACTGGGAAGAACTGTGAGAAGCATTGATGTGATTTTGGTTGCTGAGGACAGAGAATTCTATAATTTTTTAGAGGGTTTTTTTGAGGAAAAAAAAAGTGTTAATTTTTAGAATGGAGTTAGTATGAGAGGATTTGAGAATGCCATCCATGAAATTTCAGAGAGCATTTCCAACCACACAAAAACAGTGTTACATCATGGGACAAGGGATTTCTGGATAGGATAATGTTTTGGGAAAGTGTTGGCCCCACCAGATAGTCGTAAGTTAGAAGACCTCTCATATTTCGCCATGTGTATGTTTGGATTGTAAATTTGTAATTACTTCTGAACCCTACAAAATCACAAATTTATTTTCATAATTAGTCAGGATGTAGTGATTTATTCTTGTTCAATAATTATTAATACCTCTCATTTTTTTTATTAGTGAAGCCAACATAATATTTAACTTAATGATAAAAAGAATTCTAAAAATAAGTATGTCAAAAAATGCGTTCGTGGTATTTTTGATAATTTTATGCAGGTTCCCTTAGTTAGTTAACTCTAACTTCATGAACTTAGTATAAGGATATGTTATTAATAAAGTTTCTTTAAAGTAAAATTACTCCTAAAGTGAAGTATGGATTTATTCCTTCTTAATTTAATTCAGATGTACCGTATTTTTAATTCACTAGATTTGAAGGAATAAATGAGCTCTTACTTGTATATTTTTAGAAACAAACTCATCTTATAATTTTAAATTTGTAACACATTAATCAAATAGATTATTCTTGTCGTCAACTTTAGTCACAACCTTATCAGAAAAAAAATAAAATTTGTGAACTATTAGAAAAAACTTTAACCACGATATTATTTTTAGAGTTCTGTTCATGTGTATCCTCATAACATAGGTTAAAAATATTTTTATTTAATTATTTTCATTACACAAAAGTGTTAATTTTATTGAAAAAAATTAAGGTATTAAATATTCATACTTTTTTTAATGTTTACTACTTAAACTAACCTTTAAGACAACTTAATTAATAAAACTTAGAACATGTAAGGAGAATTTGCGAATTTAAACGATATAATATATTCCGCCTTCCTTTTCTCATATCTTCCCAGCCTTCAAATTAGGGGGTTCGCGGTCTGGATTGGATCGGTTTTGGAAGCAAAAATCATCCGATCCAATTCTTTCGGTTTGATCATATGTTTGGATTTTTTTTCAAATCTGATCCAATCCAAATTTTTTCGGTTTGGATTGGTTCGATTTTCGGTTTTTTGAAAATCCTAAAATTTATTTCATGATTATTGGACAAATAACATCTTTTATATATATTGGCTTTGTAAATTATTATTTTTTTGAAATACAAAAGCATTAGTAAACTATAATATAGTTTTTTTTGGCAATAAGATATGAAGCTCTACAAAGATAAACTTTTGTTGATGAGATGTGACTAGATTTTTTCATGGGTTTAAAAATTTTTGGGCTATAATTGGAGAAAGATCCAAGTAGATAGAAGAGAATTAATATATTTGATCGGTTTGGATTGGATCGATTTTCATCAACCGATCCAATCCAATTAAAATTTGCAATTTTTTTTTTGTTTTCGGTTTTCGATTTTCGATTTATTCGATTATCGGTTTTTCGGTTCGGTCACCGCAGTTTGAATCGGTTTGGATCGGTTGATGAACACCCCTACTTCAAATATCCCTCTCTCCCTTCACCGGGAGCTTCTTGAAGATTTAACTAAAAACCCACCTTAATTAAGATTTGCCCCTTAAAAAATTATTTATTTAACCTGAATCATAAAGATTTCCATAAGGTTTACATGAATAAAGATAAGAAGTACGAACGAACTAGGAGTAAAGCCTATAAGAATGGGTCATTTTTGTTTCCTATAAGTAAATCCAAAACCCTGTTTGTTCTCTACAGGAGGCCCAATAGGTGCAAAGCAAAATAACAAAAACCAAAAACGGAGGAAAATGGTTAGTGATTCAGCTCACCAACCAAACAACTAGCATTCTACCAAAACCATTACCGCGTTAAGAAACTAGCAAGTAGCAACTGCTTCCTCTGATTTAATAAATAGTTTGTCATTACAATTTACAAAGGCAGTTAAATTTTATGCGTTTTTTATTTTAATTAAATAGAGGGATAGGCATGGTAACGAATCTAGTTTGCCTTTAATAAGCTTGACATGCTTTTTAAATATCAGACTTTGACTTAGTTTTTTATAAATATGATTTATTCTCAAAATCTGTTTGAGGTCATATCCTTTAAATAGACCGACATGCCTACTTCTAAATAGCTCAATAAATTAAAATGTTGTAGTTATATGGTATCCAATTATTTGGATATACTAAATTGTTACTTGAACGATTTCAAAGACGCATACTGAATCAATCTAATGCATTCAAGAGAATTGATTCCTCTAACTCCGATCTACAATTTTAAAAGTTGTCAAAAGTGGTTAAGTGAACTAAACAAATATTCGTACGGTCCTACTCCCATGTGGGATGAAATGTCTCCAACTTGACGAGGAATTTATTGATTCTGGTGAAAAGTTGTGTTTTTTTTTTTTTTCTCATTTAAAATTTAGTGCGTAAGCTTTTATTAAACAATGAGGCATTGTTAAAGTCGCAAAATCGAATATATTCAATAAAAAGTTTTTGATTCGATTATTAACATTAGACTTTATTCATAAAGTTTTTCATTCAAAACTTAAATATGCCTTGACTTTTTCATGGTATAAAATAAATTGTCTCGCTATGTTTGGAACTCATCCAGTTGAAGAAGAACAGACAAGGAATTCCCAGGCCCTTCCATGGACGCGAGTTCATGGGACAGATCAAGTTAGTTATCATATTATCCTTGAGTAACTTTTATCATTGAGCAAAGGCCTTCCAAAGCAACTTCACATCTTCAAAACTTTTTATGACATTTTCTTACAGGGCTATTAAATGAACATAATTTTGCACCCCTGTTTGATGCTAACCATGCGTTACATGATCATTGCTTGAAGATTAAGTGGAAGCACGGGCATAGTGTGGAGATGCGAAATTTCTAATGTACTACATTTGACAAATAAAAACATAAGGTCTGTAATGACATGTTTCCTAAGAAGGGAGAAAAAATATATATATCTATATATTTTCGAGAATACATAATTTATAATTTTATTTTAAGCAAAAGTTGTATCTACTATTTAGTGCGATAGTACCAAAAATATTTTGGTGAAAATGAGGTTTTACCCTTTCTTCCAGGTTCCTCAACTTTTGGGTATTTATTATTGGGATAATCGTTTGTCATGTAACATGACACCATTTGTGTCATGTTATAGACACAATAATAATGTGGGCTCCATTGTATAGTAAAAACGCAAAAAAAATTGAATTGAGTCCCACGCTATATTGAGTGTGTAAGAAAGCGAAGATTCTTCATGTTACATGACACTTGTATTTCCTTTCATTATTTCTCTAATTAATGTTGGAGTTTAAGGTTTAGTTTGAACTTTTACTATGTTGTTTCATCCAACAAAAAATATAATTATAGAGTTTATCTCTTATGTTTATTCATTATTAAGTGTGCATACAATATAATTTATTGCAAAAACACGTATTTGAAAAATACTAGAGGTTCGTATCATGTGAAGACTTCACCCGTAGGTAAAATTGTTCAACTTGACACGTTTAATTGTAGGTACATAATACATAAATTGATACTCAAAATTTGAACAATTAATGTTTAAAAAAAAAAACTTGAAAATTGTAAGAAAACCTAAATGAAATGTATAGGTTAACCATAACCAACAACGAATCATGTCAAAATTACTAAAATTTTAACTCTTTTATTTTTGGACAAAAAAAAAATTCACAAGTTTACACATCAATTGCGTTGATTAACCAGCGACATAATTATTTTTCAAATCTAGACATAATCCGTATGAGTTCACGGATTGATATGACCCATATGTTTTAATATATTATATCACGGATTAATTTGCGTGACACATTTTACCACCCTAACAAATACAAAGCCATGTTATTATTGGAAATATTTTTAGTACATGGTAAATATAATCGATCAATAAGAATGCACCACATCAGCTGAAATATTTTATAAAAAGAGAAAAAGAATATTAATATTTTATCTATGTATTTTTAGAAACATGTAGTGTGTGAGAATACCAAAAAGAGCCAACTCGTTTTAAAGAGATAATTAGGGTTGGGTAACTCAAAAAAAAAAAAAAAAAAAAGTGTAAATACTAACGTCGCATTCAATGATCAATATAAGTGATATTAAAAATGCTCTCGATGTTGTCACAAGAATATCCAAAATAGATATGGTCAATGTAATTTTTTATTATTTGAAAATACGAGTACAATTTATCATTTTGTCAAATACTGTTGATGTTCCAATTAAGCAAAGCATTATTATACTGATTGTGAATTATATTTATGGGTTATGTTTATATCATTTTACATGAGATAAACAATTCTTTTACACACACAAAAAGAGATTGGGTCTCACCACTTTTTTTTCTCTCTTCTCTTATCTGTGGGTCTCACTTATACTTTTACTTTTATAACATAAGATAATTTTTTTCTACAACATAAGAAAAATATATCTTATATTTATAGCTATACCCGAAGTGTATTATAATATTAGCGGCTGCCCGAAGTGTATTAATTATACTATTAGCGGCTGCATGGTACAAGGATTTTCTTAAAAATCTTGAAAAACTAAAGTGGGGCAAATTTGTTTTTAATGTTTGGCACGACAAAACTGAAAATAATATTAGAAAAAAAAATCTCATTATTTCATTTTACACATGATATTCTCAAATGAAAATATCATTTGATATATGATATATTTTTTTCTCATAACATTAGTAAAATTAACTTAATATTTTCAGAAAAATTTTGAACTTACCAATTATTTTTTCATAATAAACAAAATTTCTCACTATATTCTCAAAAATCTTTTTTTTTAATAAAAAAATATCTTCTCCACTAAAAGCTCTCTTTTTTAAGCTTGAAAATTTGATCTTGAATATACTATTAATTTAATGGGAAGGTTTTTCTTAGGAGAATTATCACCACATGGTCTCTAAAAATTTAAAATACATATAAAAATTCTCACTAGTTAATTAAATCATTAAAATTGACATGCGTATTTTATTAATTTTCTGATTAATTGGTATGATATTTTAAACAATTGTATTTTTTATTTACCAAAAAAAAAAGAAACAATTGTATTTTTTGAAAAAGATATTATTATATATATTTTTTTTGTATGTAATATTATTATATTTTTTTGTTACAAAAATAAGATACTTTTATTTTTGAGATAAGATTTTTCAGTTCAAGGTTTCGTGGCGAATATGCTTTTAATTGTCAACGCGTTGGAAGTATGAATCTCTGACGATTAGTGATAAATGAAGTCGAAGAAGCAATTTTACTCCCCATTTTAAAGCGCCAGCGCGTCCATTGCAGATCTCTACTTCAACAACAACAACCAATTTTTTTTATTTTAAAAATCTCTATGGTTTATTTCTTCCTATAAATATTTAATAGAAAAAATTATTCTTATGTTACATGTGATAAATTTTTCTTTTACACATCCTTTGATAACTGTGCCACCTTTTTTTTTTCAGGTGATGGAGCCCACAAATTTATCTCTATAACATGAGATAACTTATCTCCTTTAACATGAGATTAATAAAACTCATATTTATATTGCTAACAAAAATATTTTTACAATAAATATATATATATATATATATATATATATATATATATATATATATATCATAATTTAAAATGTTCAAGAAATCAAGGATGCAGTAAAAAAATTCACGGGAAAAACTTTTTAATCCACCTTCCACTATTTTTTTAATTTTATGTAAAGAATCTTGCTATTAATAAACATAACTTTTTCATAAGTAAATATTATAAGTATTTTTGAAAAGATTTAATATTTTTATATTTTAGAAGATAAATTTATTTTGTAAACATATATAAAATTATAAAAATATGTGAAATTAATGTAAGCATATGTAAGAAAAAAAGAAAAAAAATGAATAACATATATTTTAATTAATGTATAGGAGATAAATATATTCTTTAAACATTAAATAATTTTTAAATTATACTAACAAAATGACTAGAAATCAAACTAGATGCGGTAAACTATAATTCACCGTGATAAAATAGCTTCTGGTGAGGTTCGTATATAGCAGTGAGAATAGGCGCGTGGGGAATGTGGGGTCTGACAGTAGCCCCACGTGTCCCGTTGTCTTTGTCATCACGACCAATTTTTGTTTTAATTAAGAAGGAACATGTAGATGGAGATAGACATAATAGAGAGAAGCAGCAGCACAACATCACAACACAACACAATATAACACAAAACACTGAGATTGTTAGCATTTAGCAATAGAGGGCATAGTGGGACCCATCACCAAAAAACCACTCAAGCTCTTTCCATTGATTTTCACTATCTTCTTCTACTACTATTTCACTTACTCTCTGAGCTTCAGCTCTCTCTCTCTCTCTCTCTCCATCAATGGTGGTAGTGGTGGGGGTTTTTAAGAAAGCTTTGTCTTTTGGCTCTTCAGGCTCAAAAGCAAGAGCACCTTAGATTAAAGATTAGATTCGCTTTCATTGTGTCCCTTTTATCAGGTACATTCCAATCTTCCCCTACTTTCTCTCTCTAAACTTTCCCCACCTCCTTTCTCTCACTAAAAAGTTGAAAGTGAATTTTTATTTTTATTTTATTTTTTTTGTTCTCTTTTTCTTAGTTCTGAGCTGAAAATTCTAACATTCGAATCTGCTTCTATATTGATTTGCTGGGGTATCATTTATTAACAAGTGGTTTGACTAAGAAATTTTCAACACTCAGAAGAGCTATTACTTATGACCGTTCTTGCCATTCGTATTCTTCAAAGGTTGAAAATTTGATATTTTATTTTTCATGTTTGGTTTCCTAGTTTTTGTCTGTTTTTGACTGTAGCCTATTCGCTTTTTCATGGGTTTTCTCTGTTTTTGTCTGAACTCTGAAATCATGCTTAGATACCGTGAGTTGAATTTAATTTAATCTCATTTGATTTTGGTCCTGCTTACTTTTCTTTTTTTGTTTTTAAATATAATTGAAGCCATTCAACTATGAAGGCTTTCAACGTTTGGTTGCGGCTGCTTGATGGCTGTGACTGATTCTATATGCAAGACAAAACTACTAAACTCCCTTATTGCGCCTTTTTTCTGTCTTAGATTTCCCCCCTATTTCTTCTGTGTCTACCTTTACACTTTGATATATTGATTTCTATTTAGTTACAAGGATTTTGGGACGTGATATTTACATAGGTCTTATAGTTATCACTGATGCTGAAGAACTTACAGTTTGAAGTTTAAGGGGGTGTTAGTGATTGCAAAGACATGGATCGAAATAGGGGAGAGAACTGGAGGGAATTGGTGAAGAAGATGCTTCCACCTGGTGCTTCTGTCCCTGGTGATGCTTCTAATCTTGACTACTCTATAGCTATGGAATATGTGGGTCCAGCAGTTTCGTATGAAGTACCAAGAGTTGAGCCCCTAGATGTAAAATCAAGACCAATTCCTACTGCTGAACCACTGTCACAAAGATCGATTACTCATGCAGGGCCTATGGTGATTGAACCAATCCCTCTGCCAGTGTCTCGTATTGCTGGTTTAACAAGTTCTCCTAATCATAGTCCGAGGGTGTCTGGAAGTTCAGAATCTGTGGTTTCTGTCTTACAAAACCCGGATCTTTCTTCTGCTTCACCTTCAGCTTCACCTGCTTCTGTTCATAATCCTCCAAACAATCCTCCTAAGCCAGTGATTAATGAAGCAAAGCGGGCACCTGTTGTCACTTTTAATACTGTTGATAGATCTCATACGAAAGACGTGGAGGTTGTGAAGCCCGTTTATCCTGAATACATTGGGGTTTCAAAAGAAAGGAAGAAAAAGAAAATAAGAGTTTGTTATAGGTGTGGAAAAGGGAAGTGGGAAACTAAGGAGTCTTGCCTAGTTTGTGATGCCAAGTATTGCAGCAATTGTGTGCTTAGAGCAATGGGATCTATGCCTGAAGGGCGCAAATGTGTAACATGCATTGGTCAGCCAATTGATGAATCGAAACGACTGAAATTGGGTAAATATTCAAGGGTGTTGTCCCGGTTGTTAAGTCCTATAGAAGTTAAGCAAATTATGAAAGCAGAGAAAGAATGTTCTGCTAATCAGCTTCGGCCGGAGCAGCTGATTGTCAATGGATTGCCCCTGAAGCCTGACGAGATGGCTGAATTACTTGGATGCCCCTTACCTCCACGTAAGCTGAAGCCTGGTAGATATTGGTATGACAAAGAATCTGGTCTCTGGGGAAAGGTGATGATTTGCACACTGTTACTGAGAATATTTCTGCTTCAATTTTCCCTTGCACAAAATATTATTTTTCCCTTTGGTATAAGATAGAGCATTGCAAATTTTATCGTCAAATTCATAAGGTTAACTTATCAAAATTTCTATTTCCACTTGTCCTAGCATATTAAAAATTCTATCTTCAAAGTGATGAGGTTAACTTATTAAAATGCTATATTTCCATTCGTAATCAGAGAACATGCTTTAACTTCTGTCCTTATTCCTTTAATAGGAAGGGGAAAAACCTGACAGAATCATAAGTTCAAACTTGAATTTCACCGGGAAACTGAGTCTTGATGCTAGTAATGGAAACACTGAGGTTTACATGAATGGTCGAGAGATTACAAAACTTGAATTGAGGGTACTCAAGGTAAGCTTCTATCTCTGCTTAAATTTAAACAAAATTTATGTTTACCAAAGTCAAATTCTGCTGGTAACTTGTTGGATTATGCTGTCAAGACTAAGGAATTGCTTGGTAAGAATGAAAATGGAAGGAGTAGGCACCAGGTTGTGCAAGATATGAAACATCAGGCTGCAGCTCTTTTCCCCAAAGATTAAACGATTTTGAGAATGATAAAATATTTTTGACATAATAACTGAGAAAGGATTATAGCAAAACAGCTGTGATCTAATAGATTCACTTGCTCCTTTGCCTAGAAGGATTTTCTAATCTTTTGATGATCCACAACGTTATCATGGGCTCTCCAAGATGATATTAATAAAACTTCTTCAGAGTATAGCTGTGGGCTTGTAGCATGATGATCCCTTCTAATCTTTGAGTGATCCTTACCATTAACATGGCTTTATGGTATTTTTGAATTCGAATAACCTTGTTCTTTGAATTTTCAGCTGGCAAACGTGCAGTGTCCACGTGATACACACTTTTGGGTTTATGATGATGGTCGTTATGAGGAGGAAGGTCAAAATAACATCAGAGGAAATATATGGGAGAAGGTATTCACTGGAATTTTTTTAGGTGGTAACATCTTTAAGTCATATGAGGGTGTAGAATATTAATGAAAGAGATGTTTACTTTTTCCTCCACAGGCGTCAACTAGATTTGTTTGTGCCCTGTTCTCTCTACCCTTTCCCCATGGACAGCCCCATGGGTCAAGAGATGAGACTAGTAATTATACTGCTGTTCCTAATTACCTGGAACAGAAAAAAATTCAGAAGCTTCTTCTTCTTGGAATTCAAGGTTCTGGAACTAGCACCATATTTAAGCAGGTATGGCTTTTATTTCAAATGTTTAGACCTTTATTTATGGTAATTACTTCTGATATAATCACTTAGTTGCGTCAAATTAAGAGTAGCAGAGAAGATGTATGAGAACTTGAGTGATGTTTTTCTTTTCTTCATGTCATCTTTATTTCTCTCTTCTCTCCTTTGATTCTTTTATTTGGAGGTAGAAGGGTGGAGTTGAAATGAAACCGACTAGAAGTTTTTTAAGTCTCTTCATTTACACCAATGGTATTAATAAATAACTAGATTTTTGGGTCCTGGTATTTAGGACTGATTTTATTATAATATGATTCTCTTCTGTGGCACTCTTTAATTGCTGAGCAGGCCAAGTTTTTGTATGGGAACAAATTTACTGCTGAAGAGCTGCAGGATGTCAAACTGATGATCCAGAGTAACATGTACAAATATCTTAGCATTTTACTTGATGGAAGAGAGCGCTTTGAAGAGGAGGCTCTTTCTAGAATGAATGGACAAGGTTCTCCTAGTCAAACTACAGAACCAGGTAATATTTCATGCCGTGGTAAATTTTTTATTCAAGATGTGCATACTGTTTAGCTAACAGGAGACAGTGTATGATGAAATACCGTAACTTAATGCTTCAGTTATCATCAACTACATGGAGTAGAACCTATACAATCCCTTTGTTCTTCCATTAGTTAATCTTTCTGCATTTCTCAATCTTCCAAACCCCAAACATGGAATGATAGGGGAGCTTGTGTGTCTTCTTCATGACTTGGTTCGTTAGATTGGTAGTAGTTAGTTTCTAAATTTTAATCTTCTTTTAATTATTGATTTTGCTATATTTTCTATAATACCGTCTACTAGGGGAATGAAAGGATAGCTATGTGATAAAATTAGCGACTGAAATTATGTGTGAAGCTTTCTATTTCTTAGTTTCAATTGCCAAGTACTCTTACTTCAATGTCAAATTGTAAATTTCTGTTTGAGTGCCATATCCCCTATTTTGGAACTTTTTAATAACAAAAAAGAAAAATCAAATTCATTAGAATCTTCAGCTACTATTCTTTTAAGAATTTACTAGGTGCTAAATATATTGAGGGGATGAACGAAATTTATCTTAGTACCGAGAATCTCAATTGCTAAATGCTAATTAAGACATTATGTATATTCTGAATAGAACAGCCAATAGTATAGAATGTGGCATACCAGGCTTTGTATCTATTTTTTCTTAGTGTACCATTAAGTTAGAAGCTACTTCAACAATTATGTATTGCGCAGGTGAAGATTTTTGATAATTTTGCGGCTTATAATATTTACTTTCCTAAATAAACTGCTAAGTGCCTCGTCTCATTATATGTTGAGACTTAAGGCAGAGAACACATCTGGCGTGGTTCTTTTTATCACTGATTGAACTGGAAAGTGTTAAGATGTGTAACTTTCCTGTATTAACTTAGACTAAGTTGAGCCCTGAAAGAAATTCAGGCTCTTGGTTGGTAACAAAATGCTTATAAAAATTCTTGATTATATTTTATAGCATTCAGTATATATATCTAATCTTATGAATGACAACTCCTTCGACAATTAAAGACATTGGAGTTGATTTCTATTTTATCTTAGAAATGACTAATCTGCTGCAAATTTGTTGTTTCTGAATATTGATTTGGTCTGTGTCAATGTCAATTCTCTATATCCAACTTTTATGTTAATCCTGTAATGGCATCAGAATGCTTACAACATATTACCTGATTCCAATCTTTATTCAGGTAGCAATGATGAAGCAAGTAATACTAGTGAATGCATCTATTCCCTCAACCCAAGGCTAAAACATTTCTCTGACTGGCTCCTGGACATTATAGCCACTGGAGATTTAGATGCATTCTTCCCTGCAGCAACTCGTGAATATGCACCATTAGTTGAAGAGGTGTGGAAGGATCCGGCAATACAAGAAACATTCAAAAGAAAAGATGAACTTCACTTTCTTCCAGATGTTGCAGAATACTTCTTAAGCCGGGTAATTGCTTATCCAGTAATCCTGGAAACCGTGTTCTTTTGTTCAGTTAAAGTAGTAAGGCATCTGATGTTTACTAAACCTTACTCAGTCTCGAACAATTAATTTATATTCCTGCCATTTTCATAAATTTTAGGTCTTACTTTCTTGAGTTCAATATTCTTAGCATGCTTTATTCAAACAATTAATTTATGTTACTGGTTTGCCAGTTAGTTACATCACCTGTGTATCTCAGTGCAATATCTAGTCTGCAATTCTTTTTACTAGGATTTGTTGGAAAGGAAAATGGAAGGTAGAACACTTGGAGGATTTGTGTCGTGTAATTGGGTGTGCTAAGTAGGAGCAAAAATGGAAAGGTTGAAATGGAGGGAAAATAATGGATGCATTCTAGACTTGTATCCAACTCCTCCCAAGCAGACAATTGATCCTTCCTCCTCACCACCAGAATCTTCTTAAAATTATGGTCTTTGTTGTGTTATTTTTTTGGGGTCGTTATTCTTTATAACTATTACATTTTATGTGCTATAATAAGTCTAGTGGTTATGTATCATAGATAGAGAAATGGTTATTATTTTGCAGCATGGCTTGCCTTTTCTTCTTTCGGAAAACTGATGGTATTGACAAGTATAGCTAGATAATGTGCTTTAGTTTCTTTCAGGCTGTTGAGATATCTAGCAATGAATACGAACCTTCTGAAAGGGACATATTATATGCAGAAGGGGTTACTCAGGGAAATGGGTTGGCTTTTATGGAATTCTCACTTGATGACCGAATCCCAAAGTCTGAAACTTATACAGATAACTTGGATGCTCAGCTTCCACCTCTAACCAAGTAAGCTATATTTATTTCTCCCTCAATTTTGAAAGCCTTTTTTCTAAGTGGAACTACCCCCTGCACACACATGCTAACGTAAAATCTAAATAACTATTCTTTGATGTCTCAGGTACCAACTCATAAGGGTGAATGCCAAGGGCATGAGTGAGGGTTGCAAGTGGGTTGAAATGTTTGAAGATGTTCGAGCAGTGGTCTTTTGTGTTTCCCTAAGTGACTATGATCAGCTGTGGCTTGCCCCAGACAGTAGTGGCAGTGGAACACTTGTCCAAAACAAGATGATACAAAGCAAGGAGCTTTTTGAGACAATGGTCAAGCACCCTTGCTTCAAAGATACCCCTTTAGTACTGATTCTGAACAAATATGATATGTTTGAGGAAAAGATTAGTAGGGTGTCCCTAAATGCTTGTGAATGGTTCAATGATTTTTGTCCTGTTCGTGCACATCACAACAACCAATCACTGGCCCATCAGGCTTACTTCTATGTTGCCATGAAATTCAAGGACCTTTATGCATCCCTCACGGGAAGAAAACTTTTTGTGTCACAAGCACGTGCAAGGGACCGAACAACTGTTGATCAGTCATTCAAGTACATAAAAGAGGTCCTCAAGTGGGATGAGGAGAAGGAGGAGAATTACTATGGTCCACCGGAGGATTCGTTTTACAGTACAGATTTAAGCTCCTCTCCCTATATTAGACAAGAGTAAGTTAGTTTTCCATCAAAAATATCATTTGGCTATTGTAAATGGTGGAAAATGTAACAACATGCTGGCCATGGCCAGCTCGTGTTTTCTAATATTTTTATGTATTCTGAAATCTGAAATGAAAGTTACTGATGATTTTGTTAGAATCTTTCTAGATGAACTTCTGTCGTGTATCTACATGTATGCTTTCTCTTTGCACGTTGAGGTGCTCTTTTGTTTTTTGACACATTTTATTTTATTTTTTTATTGTTATTAGGTAAAATTTGGGTATCATAAAAAAGGGTTTTATAAAAGTTATTTTGTAGGAAAAGTGATTGTGTTATGTTATAGAGATTTATTTTGCGTGTCATAGTTTTTTTTTTGCTCCAAAAAATACAGGTCTCATAAAATGTTATGTGTGTAAGAAATTTTTTCTTGTCATGTTAAATGATGAACGTAAATTCCCATAAGCCACGTTATCGGTCTTGATCACGAACCTTGAGCCCAGCGAAGAAAACTACACTGCGCTCCAGCAATTCAATGATCTCTGTTGGCTATCAAGGTCACTCGCCACGAGCGCTTGCTGCGAAAAGTCAGTTCGAAAAGTCGGACTTGATGCAATGGTGGCGGAGATCAAGATCACTAAGCCAGTTGTTTGCCTAAATTTATTTCTTTTTACGAGCTTAATATGTTGATAAATGTGCGGAAAAGTATTCCATTTTTCTTTGACAAATAAGACAGTAATCGTTGTCGTTTTCCGATCGGATAATTGTTCTCGGATAGCGCCAGCTCCACTAGAAATTTCTCGATTTCGAAATGTATCGAAATAGTCCGAGTGGAGAAAAAAAAGGGGGGGTTTGAATTAAAAAAAATTTCTGGAGATGTTTATTTTTATGGGGGAATGAACTTATAATCATGAAATCGACTCGATCATCAGATTCTAGATTATAAGAACTTCTTCCCTTTTTTGAATGGGGCATGTATGAAATTTGCGCGTTGCAAAAGGTGTTATATGGTATGTTAAATATTTCTTTATGCTAGACTTAACGATTATATAATGGAATACCTTGGAGTAACTAAAAGATTCAATCAGGATTATTGAATTGTCTGTTTTGTATAAGAAAGGATTAATATAATTATGTATAGCATTATAGAAGTAAGTAAATTTAATGCTGCGTGAGGAAGTGGGAGCCTTAAATTTAATTTGTTTTCATTTAGCATGCCTGATTAGTGAATAAGTACCGATAATAGCGGAATACTTTTGAGAGTTTAATCAAATAAGATGTACGACTAATCAAGAAATACTTTCTACTATAAGGAGGTGTGGAAATTTCCTCTCTTCTTTGTAATCACTTGATAATTACACAAAAGCGTGATAACATAGTTCACATTTCTATTCCACAATGGAAGAAATTCGAAAAAGTAAAGTGTACGAAAAAAAAACAGGCAATTATTGTTGTTCGTTTGAAGGAGATACTTTGCCCCCACTCAGATTCTTTGCCCTGAAAATTACATCATATGACATGATCACTACTACAAAACACGAGCACAAAAGGTTTTACAAAGTCTTTTGGCGTTTTCTGAAGATCAATTTTACCTTATCTCTGTTACAAGTTTGACAAATCTTAAATTTCTTTTATGTAATATTTGCGGCAGACTATATATGAATTTTTTTTACTGAAGACTATATTTAAATAAGTTCTAATCTAATTTAAAGCAAACTCCTAAATATTCTTAATAAATAAAAATGTCACATCATTCTAGTAACTAACATTTTTAATAATGTGAGGTCGGGATCTTCTCCTAGTGTCTTGTTTGTTCATTAAAAATAAAATTAAATTAAAGACCAAGTAAATAATTGTAATTTGCAGTAAAATATATATTTAAACATTAAATATTATAGGATTTATCGATTGTGTAATATGGAACATGGACATCCTAATGCTATGAAATATGGAAAAGTAACGCAAAACTTCGGGTGAGCAGTGCAAATAAACCCTCTCGTTAAATGATTCAGTCAAATTTAATTTGTAACGGGTTGTCATGTCATGTGTGTAACATGTGCCGTTCCTCAGTGTGTCTGTCCTTTCCATATCGTGCACCTCTGCTATCTGTCAATGACTCAATATTATTGTTCTGCCATAGACTTGACCTGCCAAGTGCTGAGAAGCCCACGTGACATTATACCTCAGTTTCATTAATTAAAACATAAGGAATAATATAGTAAAAAAAAAAAACAATTATATGTTATTAATTTTTTAGATAAAAAATAGTTGAAAAGATAGTATGAAACTAAGTTTTTGTTATTCAGGTTATAAATTCTATTCAAAATATAAAAAGAAAAAAAAAACAATAGTATTTGTCTCTTCATTTCTTGAGTTCTATCGCACACAAAACAATGCATAATATAAATGATATTATAATAAGAGATGGGATATTTTATTTATCTTTTTTTTCATACTAGACCTCCAACATTGTTACATTAAAATTCTAACTAATTTTCACTGTTTGTCTCTCCTCTTGAAATTATCATCCAGTAGTGTTAGAAATAAATAAGTAGAATAGGCGTGAAAAAATAAACATGATATTTTATTTCTTATAATAAATTTTGCTTTATTCTATTAAGTACTTAGACACACTGTTATTAAAATCAGACCGACCCGGCCAGGTCGACCCAGGAACCGATAAACTGGTCATATAACCGGTCCGGTGGAAGCAATGGACCGGTCATGCATCAGAACCGGTGTGACCCGGTCGGTTTTTATGAAAACCAGTGACCCGGTCGGTTAACCGATGACCCGACCCAGTCCAAAAAAAAAATTTAATTATTTATTTTTTCAAAAAAAATCATAATGGATATATTTGAATATTTTTTGCTTATTGATTTACATAAGTTATATACCTACAATACTAATATTATCTCAATTATGCACTATCTAGAAAATTTTGATTTGATTTATAGTTAGAGATGTCGTTTTCTGAACCTAAAGCTCCGTATCACGATCATTATATTTTTGTTTGATCCTTTATTGGATAATAATATAGGATTTATTATTTTTTATATTAAAATATTTGAATTTTTTTATTTTTTTATATATTTGAGTATGTTTACAATTTTTTAATATAAATTATAAAATTGCATATAATTATCGGGTCATGCGGTTGAACCAATGACCCACTAATTGAACCAGTGACTCAATACCTCGACCGGGTCAATGACAGGGCCAGTTTTAATAACATTGCTCAGACATATTAAACGGAAGATATAACAAAAAATTTGTCTTTGTATTGCGCATCAAAAATTTTGCAAAACCAGAATTGCCTCTTTAGTTATCATCATATCCTTGTAAGAAAATATTCATTCTGCTGTCACAACCCTATCTCTAATCTCCTCCTCATGTAGTGCATCAATTGAGAACCAAAGTGAAATAGCAGTATAACCTTGGATTGTATCTCTTCGTTTCTTGTATATCCTATGCGTTTTCTTCAAATTATCGTCACCCAATGCTGGTCAAATAATGCATCCATTAAATCCTCAGCGTTATTCTCTACTAGTTAGCTTTCCTACTTCGAAACTGATCCATTCAAAGACGGAACTTGGAAGCAACATTGCCATTATAACCAAAAGTAAGTTGCGTACATGATTACAAGTTGAAAAAGATAATGTATAGTAATTGAAGTAACTCGTATAACATACGTATGCTCACTTAGTTCACTTCAATAGTAAAATTCCAACCTTCTAAAAGATAAAAATAAATCAAACCAGAAGACGCAAGTCTTCCTAATGGAAAATACGAGGCTTTGCTGAACTCAAATATCTTAATGTCAATTCCTATAACTAAATAATATTTTGCAATATAAATGAAGCAAATTATGAGTACGACATAAACGCCTGGACAAATTACCCTATTGTCTAACACCTAATTATAATTGACCATTTCAACTTCAAGATGACGGATAAAACCCATTTATGAAGAACGACGTATTAACTCAGACACATACCTCAGTTCTGCAATGCCCTTTTTGGTACGTAGTTATATCACTGTTACGAGACAACAACAGTCAGGTATAACAGACAGAAGATTTATATCATGCAAGTTCATTAGCACCCAAATTGAAGCACATGAAAGATAAGGCAAAAGAAAACAATTGCTTGACACAATGAAATGAAAGGAACTTTTGAAGTGAGTAAAAATAGCCGTATCTAAGAAAGATTCCAAATACAAAGTTTATCATCACTCTAAAGCGTAAAAACAGCCCGTTTCCAACTGATTCACCATGTCTCTAAGCATGCAACCATAGAACCAACAATTTCTAAGCGAAGTACATGAGGCTGCTCTTTCCAGCAGTCATTCAAAAGCAGCAGGCATAACCAAATGAAGCATATAAAGTTGGCTATATTGCCCATGTGACTTGGAAGTCTCTTCATCTTGTGTCGGTGTGTTCCTTAAGAAATTGTTACAATAGGCAGAAAACAAATAAAGAAAAATCATGATCCAATTAGATCAGGTGTTTCTGCCTCGATGGACAACAATGCAGTGTGCACTTTTCCTGTCCAACTGTCCAGTCGATCCCGTAAGGATTTGATCTGTTGAATACCCAGAACTCTTGGCTGCACCCAGGAAACATGCACTGTGCCCTCAACTTGATCAATTATACCCTCAATTAGATGAACCTGCAATAAATTTTTTTCTATATATAATAAGCTTTAAAAATTAAATTTAAATAGCAAAACCTTGATACAATTTTACAAACAAATAATAATATGCTCCCAAATGCATAAATTCAATCAATAAGATATCTCCAATTACTTTTCTCAGAAAAACCATGGAACACTAAAAATTCTTTGAAAAAAAAGCATATACTGTAAAAAGAATGAAGTTTGCTTGTAAGTACTTATTTATCAACAAAGTCAACATCAACTACACCTTTATCCCAAATTAATTGGGGTCGGTGGATAAGTACTTATTTATAAACATCATAAATAAAGGAGCATAATACTTTTTTCCAGACCACAAAGCCAAATGCAATTTCCAACAAAAACCCTCTAGTCAATCACTAAACAGGTATAGAACTATCAGTAAAACAAAACATTTGTTCGAACAAAACAAATTCCACATCCACAACGGCGGAAGGTAATGAAAGGACAAAGATGAAAGCTATACTGACAAGTAACATAAAACCAATTCCAAAATTGCGAATAGAGCATTTTAACTTTGAACATAATTTTGGGAATTAACCTGCTTAAACTTCCTTCATTAGATAAATAGCCTGTTCCATTCAAAATTCCAAAAATATATAAACCCTAGTTGAAAATGCAAATTGCCAACAAAAGTTTACCCTAGAAGCACAAGTCTGCAATTTATTTCCATCAAACCTCCAAATCAATTAACTCACTGTCACCCCACCCCCCCCCCCCCCCCCCCCCCCCCACAACCCCACCCCACCCACCCCCCACCAAAAAAAAAAACACACTTCTTAAAGAATGGATGTAGTTACTTCCCCAGTGTAAATAGAGAGTTAATAGCCAATGAAAACCATAGAGGACTATTAGCTAGAGGGTCAAAGTCAAAACAGAGTATTTGCATTTTAACCTACTATCAAAGGGTATAGCGGAAAGCAACACAACCCCTTTAGAAATGCTTTAAATGAAATCAAGCATCGAAAGCTCTTTTGAACATGTTTCAACAGCCAGATTATACCAGACCCTCTGAGTGACAAATCTGCCACAAGATGGAAGGGGTCATGTTCATCATAGAAAAAATACATCAAGTGCTACTTGAATGTCGTGTGTTGCAACTAGAACTCAAAAACAGAATCAACTAATTTTTTAAAGTAATAATCAAGACAACATAATTCTTCAAGTGATGAGGTGACATGTAACAACTCCGAAGCTCAATAATTTTTAGAAGTGTCAGTTAGAATATAGTTTAAATCACATGCCCAAACATAATGCTAGCTTAGAAATTATGATTAACTGTAATTAATGATCAACCCTTACTATAAAATAATATAAACTAATTAACTAATGAGATGCGGGTGAATCAGGAATGACTCTAAAAGAAAAGTTTGAAGAGAGTTTTAACATTTACCCAAATGCAAAGGTCGAAAGTGTATTAATTTAGATGGTTATGATAGAAAATCACACAAACTTCTTAAAATGATTTTTTCTAGAACTTACAGATAGGCTCTTCATAAGGAGATGCTCCACATCCTCTATAGAAAGTTTTGTACGCTCTGCAATTACACTCAAGGGAATAGTGCGATCTTCTGAAGGCCGACTGCAAGTAACCACAATCAGTTTGAGTTCGGAATGAAACGAGCAGTTATTAAATTCATCTCTACAGGTGATTATGATGATCTAATTAATGCATATATACCTGAATATAATCTCCATCAGACAGAGAATGTTGATCTTTTCCAACAACCTCTGTTCATTTTGAACTAGTGCTGGTTGAGCCCTTAATGCATCATTATGAACCCGACATAATTCTTGATATCGAACTAAATCACCAGAATTGAATGCCTGCAAAATATAGTAAAGCCATTCCACCTTTGTCCCCAGAAGACTCTTAATCTGTTGGAAGATATTATAGATTGTCAACCAACATAGTAACTCAAAAAAATAGATGAATGAAGTAAAGAAATTTAAAAGATAGGCATTCCCGAAATTTTGGTCTAGATACATACTATAGGATGGGCAAGTAACTCTCCAAAGTTGTAGATGTTATCCCCCAGCAGAGCAGAAAGGGACAAATCAAATGCCAAATCCTAACAAGTCACAAAAAAATAGTGCGTTCTCAGATTATAACATTTGCAGATAAATAGAAAGCAAAGCATAGATCAGATAAACTACCACGAACTCCTTCAACCTCTCCTTAAAAAGGAAGTGAAATTAAATGAGTTCATAAAACCCAGATTTAATGACCATTTACCAAAAACAGAAGCATCAACATATCTTCAAACTTCTCCATGTTAATTTTACTAAGGACAACATAAAGATCTTCGCAGTGTAATGATGATATACATCAACATTAACAACACCTTTATCCCAAACTAATTGGGGTCGGTGGCAGATAAACCCAAATGGAAAATACCAAAAGATTGAGAAAAAAGATAAAAGGTCTTAGTGTAATGATGATATAGTAAAGACTAAATATAAAGCAACTAGGTTAACCTTTTTATTAGATAATATATGAAGAGGCACAGTTAGAAGCACTACTTAATTACCACAGTATAATTACCACTTAGACAAATTTTCCAACTCAGCACCACTTTGCCTTAATTACTACTACTTAGCCTTAATTACCACTTAGACAACTTTTCCAACTCAATACCACAGTATGATTTAGTTACACCATCCCCTTAGTTTCCTGGATGTAAAGAACCTGGCCATAAAATCCAGGATAGGAAAAGAGTCAAGCCTTCAACTTAAATGGGAGTGCAGCTGCCATGGGACTCATACTCGTGTCATTTACCTCCATAGTAGCTAATTGTGAGAATAGAAGTCATTGCAAAAAGCCTACATTTAGATGTATGGAGAACTACACTCATTAGTCACTATCCCCCAATGTAAATTAACTAACGGCCTTAGTTCTATGCTTTCAGAGGATATCACTTATTATCCATCAAGCTCCTTATTATTATCTTCCTTCTTCCCCTCCCCTGCTAGATTTTTTTAGAAAAAAAAAATGTGGTATCATCTTAATAGTTTCTCTCTAAAACCACTCCCCATTAAACCCGACTAGCAAAGGTGGAGTGAGGGCAATCCTTATATATATATGCAAAGAGGTTGTTTCCCGGATTCAAATCTGTGACTTTTCCAAAGGAGTAGCTTTTCCACTACTCAAGGCTCGCCCTCTTAGCTTAATAGTTTCTCTCTAGTTGTAAATATTTAAAGTAATGGTCAGACATTATAAATCTAATACTTGAGACAAGCAACCTCATATACACCTGTTTCATGTCATTCCACAAAAGTCAACTAAATATATAATACACATTTTGTTCAAATATAATTTGCCTAATTAATAAAGGAATTGTCTTAGCAACAAGATTTTCCTTTAACAGTCACGACATGAAACAATTTCCAAATTCTCTTTCTAATCTCCTTTTGCAACCATATAAATCATAGTATGAGTCAAGAGAAACTGATACTAGAGGAAAGTGAAAGCATATAGCCATTACATTGAGATAACAAACAAGAAATCAATCAACAAAACATTTAAGTCCGTACTGACGACATACCAGCTTGAATGAATCTGAAAGTGACTCCACTGAGGTATACGCCAAATAGAGAAGAGCACTTTTGTAGAACTCAGCAAATTCCTGGCGGGATTTATGATACTGAGATGATACCCAGTAATAGCTAGCATATACAGATGGATCAATATCTGTCATACTGTCAAGGGTAGTCTTTCCATCTTCTAGGAGTTTCTTGGATTCTTTCAGGTCACCTTGCTCAAGCTTGAATATGGCTATTTGCATCTTAATGTAAAGAATAGGTTCTTCTATGCGCTGCTCTCTAGTGGCTTGCAGTTTCTCAATGACCCCTTCAAGATAACCCACAGCGGCTTCTTTCTCAGAATACTGCCGAGAAACTATAACAGCAAAGTGTGCAAGCTTAAGAAGGTTGATTTTGGTCTCAAAGTCTGTTATGAAATTGTGATATAGCTGTATCAGAGCATCACCAGCCTGAAAATTTATAGTAAGAATAATTTATCAAACAAAAATTATAAAACGTAATAAGAATATGCACCAGAGTATGAATTATGTCTTACTAAAAGTCAAGAAAAATGAAATTAGAAGCAAAAAAGAAATAAAACTAAGACCAAAAAAAAAAAAGACAGCAATGTTCACTTTGTCAAATACAAAGTGGCATTAAAAAGCTTCATTCACCTCTCACCCTGCTCTCCACAATAAATAAATAAATAACCAAAATACAAGTGCAAATCAGAAGGCCCAAAAACTTATTTCTTAACAAAACCCTAATTTTTCAAATTACACAACTCCAAGATTTCAATTTTTCTAGTAAGTCCATCTACGACGCACCCCAGCATTCTCGGATCCCCAACAAAATCCAAACGCATTCCTAGTGACAAAGCTTCTATCTTTTTCACAGTTCCAATTACAACAACTCAAACAAATAGTATAAAGAAAGAAAAAACCCTATCAGGAAAAGAATTATTATTAGCTCTCGGCCACAGCATCTCAACTCCCAAATTAAGTTCATAGCAACAGCCAATAAAAAACCCTAATCCTCACGAACAAAGAAACAAAACGAGCACACAAGAGAGTCTAGATTTGCAGAAATTGGCAGGGATAAGAGTGAGAAGTAAAAAAGAGTTGGAGAGGAAGAAGAAAATTAAAGTGAGACCTGGAAAACAGCAAGAGCGACGAACTGCTCCAGCTTGAGAGTGAGCTGGTGCCATAGCTTCTTCTGGTACAGATCCGCAAGCGAATTGTACCAATCAGAAAGCTCAGGGTGCGCACTGCGCAGCGATTCCAAGTATTGCAGAGCAGCCATGGCGATTCAAGCGAGAACACAGAGAGAAGAGGAACTTGAATTTTGGGGTATTTGTTTTCTATTTATACCCTATTTTTATAATTTTCAGAATAACCTTTCTTTTTCGTGTTTTGCTTCAACTCAAAGTAATGTGTAGTGGATCGGGTATAAACGGGTTAGTCTGGGTTTCGCCTTAAATAAATCAACGTCCATAAAAAATTTTAAATTTGATTTGATTTGATAATTTTGTATATATCAAAATTATAAGTATGTTATGAGTTATATTTAAAAAATAAAATAAAATAATAAAATAAAAAATAGATTTTTTAGTTTATTAATAAATATTTAATAATTTAAATAATTTAATATTTAAAATTATTAAAATAATAATTTTATTTATTTTATTTAAAATAATATAATATAAGATCGATTATTAGACTTATAAATCTGATACTTAAAAATAAAACTATAGCTTATTTTCTAAATAAACTATTTTTGAAAATCTCTGAACATGTTTTGTTTAATTTTATATAATATGTCAAGCTTTAACATAATCAAAATTGAGCCGTAGACGCTTATTAAGCCGACTGAGCCATTATGAAGTAAAATTTTCAATTTTGGTTTGCGCAGCTTCGTCGTATTTTAACTTCGGGGGTTTTCGAGACCCACTTGTTGGACTTTATTGGTCCTTCGGCCCATTGGGTCACAATTGTGTTGTTTAATTTATTCTTATTGTTTTCTGTCTGTTGATAAATCATTTATTTTTCGTGAGTTCGATCTGTTAATAGAGTTTTTTAATATGGATTCTATTACGTAACATTTTAATAGAATGGCGTTATTTAGTACGAAATATAATTTGATGATTATATATGGGTCGCTGAACTTTTAAATAAAATTGCAGAAAAGAAAAAACAAACGTGAATGTCAACTCATTCATGTCTCCTATGGGAAATATGATTCATATCATTCTTTATTTTTTATTTTAATGGGAAACTTTAATGTATTTAATATGTTATAATAACACTTAATTTCCTTATAATGTAATTTAATCTTGAATTTGATTTTAGATAAACTAAAAGCTCTTGCACTTAGTTGGATCACATCGCAGTTATTTTTTTAGTTTCACAACATCGCAGTACTTATGGGATGTTAGATTAAGATTTTCAAAGACTACTTTGAGATAAAGAAGTTATATATTTTAAAATATTATGAGCTTGTTTGTCTTAACTTATCAAAAAAGCCTTTTTTATGACTTCCTTATTTTAAAAGTACTTTCTATAAAAATTATAGCTATTTAGATTTTTTTTTAAATGATTTTTGAAAAAAATATTTGGCTTTTGACTTCTGCTTTTTTTGAGAAGCTAAATATTTTAACTTATGAAAAAAGTAGGTTTTTATCTTTTTTTATGATTTTCTTTTTTTAAAAGAAAACATTCAAATAGACCTTTTTCGAGAAGTACTTTTTTTCTTAAAAAAAATAGATTTTGAAGAAGAAAAAGTCCATTCAAACGGGCTCTATATAAAATTGTGGTGACTTTAAAGATATTTTTTATATATCAAGATTTTATAAAATTGGATTTTAAAATATTTTAATAGAACTTATAAAATTTGAAAGGTTAATATGGATTTACAAAATTTTAAAAAAATCATATAAATTTTTAACAAATATTTAAAACTACAAGAGTCAACAAAAATAATAATAAAGAAATACAATGATATTAATAGAAAAAAAATACAAAACTTAATATAATTTTCTCAATTAGTAATTTGATGTAATGATATTCTACTAAGTAGTAGTTCTTCACCTATCTATACTAGCACTCTACGTATTAGCATCTTCTCGTTCCTGTTCTTGGGTTTGACCAATGTATTGAAAAATATCTTATTCATTTGGTACCAGAGCTATGCATATATGATTACAAGACCCACAATTTTTTTATTAAAATAAGAATAAATACCATTTTCGGTCTAAGCAAATTTCACGATGTCCGCTTTACTCCCTAGCAAATAAAAAGGCTATTCGTGGTCCCTAAGAAATTCAAAATGGACCCATTTTAGTCTTTTTAAGGGACTAATGTGGGGTCTTTTTTGAATTTGTGAGGGACCACGATTTCAACTAAATTGGCCCATTTTGAATTTCTTAGGGACCACGAATAGTTTTTTTATTTGCTAGGGACTAAAACCATTTATGTAGCCTCACCCAACAACTTAAGCTTTTGGGTTGAATTGGTTCTTTACATGGTATTAGAGACTCATGTCCCGGGTTCGATCCTTACCATACCGCCCCCCACTTTCTTTCAAGTGAAATTTATTTGTTACCACATGTAGGTGGGCCTGTGCATTGTCCACCCTTCAAGCATAGTGGGCTCTCGTGTGAGGAAGCGTGTTGAGATATATAAAAACCATTTATGTAGCCTCACCCAACAGCTTAAGCTTTTGGGTTGAATTGGTTCTTTACAAGGCATCGTGAAATTTGCTAAGCACTAAAAAGATAATTCAAAATTTGCATATAGAACCTGAAGTTCATGATAAATTTTTGTTTGGAATTTTTCGCCATTAATCTTGGAAACCTTGGGATTTTTGTTCTACGTGGCGAAAATTTTCTAACCATATATTATATGTTTGTTTTCATTGAGTATTTTAAGAAAATTTCAAATCTGAATTTCTGGGTTTTACTACTAAAAAATTTAGAAATTTTCTCAAATTATTTTCAATCGATACATTGAAACCTTAAATTGCTTTGGTGCTTTGAAAAAAAGTTTTTAGCTATCTATTAACTCAAATATTGTTTGAAATTGTTTCCTATAGAAAAGGAATTTCGTTCATTAATAATGTATTGCTACAAAACGTAAAGTTTATATTATGAAAGTTTCAATATTTCTTTAAATTAATCTTATTTCATTGATGTAAAACAAAAAATTATTTTGGGGTTTTGTTCTTTTGTTGTTTTCTCACTGTTTTATGTTTTTTTAATATAAAAATCACATATTCTTATGCCAAAAAATAATTGGGACCCATAGGTTGAAAAATAGTTTTTTAAACTTCCAAAGTTCTCAGATTTTTGCATTTTTTTGGGATGGATTAGATTATAATATTGTTGGGTTGTTGTTTCTGGATTATTTTGTGATAAAAATCGCTTAAAAATTTACTAATTTTGAGCTTTGACAATGTTCCCATGGTGAAACCTAGTTTCAGTTGGTCGACCCGCTAAAAAAGAAGACACTAAAACAGAGAAATCTCAAGAAATCTCCGGAGTTAGGATGAGTTGTAAGAAAGACATACTATTTATATTCCTCACTAAAAAGTTTCAAAAAATAACACTAAAAGAAAATCCATTGAAATCATCAAATTTTTGAATACCACAGGATTATTTTTATTTTATTCAAAATCTTAATTGAATATCACCGTATTTGAATAGACTCTAAAATAATATTTTAAAACTCTAATCGAAAATGACATCAATTTTTTTTAATCATTTAAAATTTTAATTGAATATCAATGAATTTTTTTATCCAAAAGTAATTCATTAATATTTTTTGAAATCTCAATCCAATTATGGTGGTTTAGTTTCCCATTCTTCCGAAATATTTGATAATATATTTGTATAGGTGGCAATTTTTCCATGTTTTATTTTGTCTTTTAGTCGTTAATAATTTTATTGATCTTTATTACAGGTTTGGTTTATAAAAGGTATGATGTTTACACGGAACTGATTAAGCAACAGTACTTTACAATCAAAGTCAAAGCCAATCATCTTTTGTCTACTAAAGAAGTTCAAAAAAATGATATGTGACAATAAAATATAGGTTTGTAAATGGGTTGGAAGCTTTTATCGTAGACTTATAATGAATTAAGAATTAATACATGAGTTTTGTTTAAATTAGCTTAATATAAGCTCTTTTGGTAGTTTGATGAATATTTATAAATACTTTTTTAAATTTTAAATAAATTTGAGTGTGCTGTGCGTCCGGGGTAGGTGCGTGTATGTAAGAGAGAATAAAAAAAGGAAAAGTAAGTGGGAATAAGTTGGTTTTAGATTTAGTGTAAATTAGTTTTTACTTCAACATCATATACCCAAGGACCATGGCTACTAGGTTGCAGACTTGCAGATGCCCTCATTTTTTCCAAAAACTTAATAATTCTGCCGATTTTAATTTATTTTTTTTAATACAACGGTCATATTGATGTTCGAATTTATAATTTTATATAAATTATCTAAGTCCTTTGTTCGCTCCTAATGGCTTAATTTAACTTTGCTAATGATAGAACTATATCTAAGAATTTGTAATTTAACTTTACTAAGGATTAGTCTGGTTTAGGGGGTTTTCTGGCTGATTCTATGAACGTTAACTTTTTTAGGAGTTAGTCTTTTTCTCTTCTTAAATGTACTTAAAAAAAAGGGAGAAATCTGTTCAAAACCTATAGCATACCTAAAACTTAAGGCCAACAATTCTAAAGTAAAGAGCAAACCCTCCCTTGATTCCTTGCTTACCCACCATTCTAGAGAGGAGATGCTTTCCTGAATAAGTCAGTCCATGATAAAATGATAAGGGCAACATATCTATAGATTTTATATAATTGATATTATCCAACGAAACAAGACGTTTTAACTATGATAACATAAAGTATCTTTATTATATAGGTCCATTCTGACTTTGAGCAGCATAATAAGTGGCAATTACTAAACCCACCACCAAAACCAACCCAATCTACAACAGTTCAACCAAGCCATCAAATGCATTGAGTGCAACAAATTATTTACCTTGTGACTTCAGAACAAAGCAAAGTTATCCCTTAAAACTCTATATTAACCCCCTCTCTCCCATTCCCCACTACATCAACCACAAGACAAGAAAGGCAACAACCAAAAAAAAAAAGCAAAATGGTGCAGCAAGTGAGGGCCTCACTCACATGCTTTATTCTTTTCCTCCTTGTCTTGGCTACTTGCTTGACATCAATTCACTCGAGTAACACAGGGATACTCACAGCCACAGTGATCCGAGAAGATCAAGCTCGGGAACAACACCAGAGTTTGCAAAGGAAGACATGGATGAATCATGGAAGCCATCGTGGTCCCAGGAAACACCTAGTGAACCCAACAGCAGAGCATCCATTTCAGGCTCGTGAATTTCCTGTCTAGTTTTTTTCTTTTCACCCTTTCCCCAGAGTCAGTTTTTCTTTAATAAGAATCAGTTGAGTTCCTGTTTTAGTGTTATTCTTCATACCCATTTCTCTGTAAGTCTCAATAATTACAAAAATTTAGTTCCTTGTGTCAGTATCTTGCTAGAAAACACTGTTTCAGTAACACCTTCCAAGACTATGTGTATATTTGTTTGCAGTATTGTATTTGACAATTTGATATATCAGACATAACAGGCTGTTCTCCGCAGCTCATGATTGAAATCAAAGTTTTTGTTTCTTGCAGTGGTGTTGTAAATAAATGTCTTATTTAGAGGCAAAACCACTGATTTGTTGGAAACAAAATCAGTCAACCGTAAGTAACATGAACAAAATCCATCAGATTACCTATGATCTGTATTTGATATACTAGGTAAAGGTCATGAGTTTTGGTCAAAATGCAGTTGCTTGTTATCCACTCGGTAGAAAAGTTAGTTTCAGGTCAATGCTTCAATACTCAGATTGAAAAGTCATTGCAACTATTATGTCAGAACGCCTAACCGCCGTACTTGTATAATTGATAAGCTTCTAACTAGTCACAAACCATCCTTCTAAGTTCATTTTTGCTTTTTTGTGTTATTCAATTCTAAGTTCTAACCACCACAAAGAATACGAAATTGATTTTCTGTGCACTGCATACAACCCAAACTTTAATCGGCCATCCTTATATTATTTATTGCAAGAAATATTTTTGCAACGAATAGAGATAAAATCCTCAATCTTCGTGCCCAAGAGGTTTCTTATAAAATATTTAATTAAAGAAATATTAAAACAAGTGGCTGACAGTTTTTTTTTTTTATAAAAAAAAATGATTAATGGGTTGTGACTTGTGAATATATTAACTTGATTTTGTGTATTATTCTTCAGGCTAATTATTTATGAGCTTGGTGTTTGTCATTTTAAATGATATAAATTGTGTCATTTTAGGAGAGAGATAGAGACAAAAAATAAAAATCATGGGAGAGAGAAAGTAGGTAATTTTTTTTTAATTTAAATTTTTTTAAAAAAATTATTGTGTGTCTATCTCTCTTAAAATGATATAACTTTATGTCATTTAAAATCACAAACACTTTTCTCATTATTTAGTTTAAAAGTAATTTTGCAAATGAATTCTTGAATTGTATCTCTTCCATATATTTCATATCTCTTGAAAGGTGGTTGTTGCAAATGATGTCTCTTAATGATAAAAAAAAAAACTGCTGACTATACATAAGCACACACTGACACCGCTAAGCTGTTACTCCAATCGGATGTACCATGGGCAGAGTCCAACTACTGCAGACATAATGGATTATCTACGATCATAAATATCAGTATAATTTTTGTTCAAAAAAATATATATATCAGTATAACTTTTTGTGTGCGTCCTATATAGTAGAACCGTAGAAGGCAACCAGCCTCAAGTCCGTAATCAAAAGCCCAAATCCATGAGAGGTCAAAATAAGTGATCTTTGCTATCATAAAAAAATTAAAATAAAAGCAACGTCCAGTATGGTTGCTTTTAAAGGTATCCTTAGAAATATTAGCTGTGAAGGCAAGACACATTGCAGATTTCTACCCAACAATAAAGGACCGTCGCATAAACATAGGACTTAGAGCGAAGGTTGTTTCTCTTATTTTCAGCCAAAATGGACCAATTTACCCTTCAACCTGAAGAAATAAAAGTGCCTGTAGAATCAAAATCTGTGACTTGTATTTAAATCATAAATCCCGCTTCACCAGTGATGCTGTGACTCTGTTACAACGATACATTTCATGTTAAAAAATGAATTATTACATTAAGATTTATTGTTAGTTTAATTATAATGTCACAGCTGACAGCTAACATCAGAGAATTCTTGTCATTGTTTACGGATATTGAGCAGTAGTAATCAAGAGAAGTAGAGAACCACCCTTGCCGTGAAGTAGAAAAATATTTTCCATGTAAAATGGAAGAGGTTTAACCAAAATATCATTCATGATCAAGTTTTTGAACAAATCAACTGATGACTCCAATGGTTTAATGAACTTTTAAAAGCATAGTTTGAAAATGATGAGAGGAATGTAAATAGATGGAAATAATGAAAATATGCATATATAGACATTATGAATGGCATCAAAGAGCATTTCTTCATGCCACCCATTGTGAATTTTTTATACTTCAGTGTGCTTGGCGGGAATAGAAGTGAGGCATAGAATACCAGAAAAGAAAATAAACATGTATTTCAATATGAATGACGGCTTAATGCATTGATAATTTTTCAATCATCACTCTCCATTCTTCAAGTTTTAACTTCTACAAGGCATGGCCTAAGTAAACTGAAGTATTCATCAAGAGTACTCACTAAAAAAAGAAAACCGAAATAAGCTCAATGTTAACAGTGGACCAAAAGTAAAAATTCTAAGTATATTACTCGTTTCTTCAGTAAAAATATACCAGATTTGACTTACAAGATTATACCTTCGAATATACATACACATTTGAGCTACATAATATAAATAAATAGAAGGGCAACAATAAAAGATGAAGGGGTATCACGTTTAAGTTGATGGAATTTATGAAAGCAAAATAGCACATTAAAAACAATACCAGTTTAGATGCCTGAATCATTACACTCTTCAAGAAGTTTTAAAAGATTATGCTCCGGAGCACTAACAGATGGTAGAATCATTCGATTAGAGTGGGATCTCCGTGGCTTTGTCCCAGCCCCTTCAGATTCAAGGGTTCCCTCTTCCTTCATCACTGGCAGGTCACCTCTTCTCCGCACAGTAGCAGATACTCGCTCTTTCCATATTCTTCCATCCTGATAATAGAGGAACAAGACTTCAGAATCCTAAAACCAATGAGTTTTGAATAAAAAAGAACCCCCTCCCTCAGTTCAACAAAAAGGGAAGAAATACAATCACATGCATGCTTCCTCCATGGATTCTCAACCACATTCTAGTTTATTTTTTTATTTTATTTTTCATATTTAACTCTGGTTTCCAAAATTTTATTAGTAACTATCAACTAATAGTAGCTAGATAGAAAAAAACTAAACAATCATGTCAAAATCCACGTAGGAAAAGTCACGAGTTCCATCACCTCCACATAGACATGCATACACCATATTTTATGACCAACTCAACTCAAGTAAGACACATAAGTCCAATTACCATAACGGGACCTATTCTTTGAATTGAGTAACCGAATCTAAAGGAAGTCTCTGAATGGTCCAGTTATTCGGGGTCTAAATAACCTACTTTTTCATCGCAAACGAGGTAACATTTGAGGTTTCATGAGCAAATTGTGCTTAACACATTAAACAATTGACCATATTTGATTGTTTATATGTAAAGTCATACATGTGGGCAATAATTATCACTGCCATCTATGTGTATAATCAAGTGGAAGAATAAGATTCTGAAACATTAAAAAAAAAAAATCATTGATTTATTATATACATGCTAGATGCTTTGACTGAGAAACTGCGATTGTGCCAAGCAAGAGGTTGGGAATGGGAGATGAAAGTAATGATGTAGAAGGTAAAATTACCCATGCAGGCAACTACTCACGATGAATTTTAATAATAGCCCACTTCCATTCCTCCCTGGTGCTTTAGCTTTTGAAGTTAGAAGAGGAGCTACTAACTTAGATTCTAAGACAGTGACAAGTTACACCACAACATTTACAAACTATAACAAAAATATGGTTACACTCCAACATTCACAACTTTCCTTAGAATCTAAGATGAACGGAAAACGCAAAGGAAAGGTAACTTCAGTATTAATTCCACCTTGCCCAGTTCGGTGGAACCTCAATTACCTTCTGGCCATATTTCATACTAATGTGCATAAATGGGACGAACTATGTCATACTTGTTTGGCTGTAGTGACACTAATGAGCTACATGCATGCACAGCAAAAAATTATAAAATTTACTTGAACTATTTTAAAAGACAAACCAAAGAATTCTCTGAAAAACAGCAAGATACCACCACATCCCATAATATCATCGTCAGTTGTTTATGCAATTATGTTAAAGAGAGCTTTCTAAACAATTGCTCTCAGTAGTCCTATAGGATAAGTTGAAATGAAAACCTTCTTTAAGTTATTTGAATATCATGGCATTATCAAGATATCTTACTTTAAATATGTTTAAACTGGCAACATATTCAAAATACACAACTCAATAAGGCTATTCAATGTTTTGGAGCTTGTGCATTTATTGCCAAACAACTTTGACCATAATAATATGCAGATATTACAAAAGAAGTTTTTCATAGGTTTGAAATACACACTGATAATATAAAATACAATGTTGATACTGATGAAGATAAACAAACTCTAGTTGCAGACTTGCAGTAACCCAACACAACCGGATTCAATACTTAATAAAACAACTCATACTTTTTTGTCAATTGAATAATAATAATAATAAGAAGAAGATGAAGAAGAATAGTATGTATTTTTTATTTTTTGTAATATAATAGTATGTAATTTAGTACTGAACGAACTGTTTAAAATTTTATCAGTCCAAATAATCAATTTTGTAATATACCAAAAGAAAAACAGATCCCGTCTTACATTAAGAATAGATGGTTCTGGTACCGGGCACTGAATTGGTCTATCATTGTCAAGGGGTTCAGTTGGGTGTTCAACTGGCTTAAACTCCACTGCTACTTCAATTCCATGAGAAGTGGCAGTAGCAGCACTAGCTGCAGCGCCAGTCTCTGAGTTTGGGGGTATTACTTCCCTCTCATCCTGCATGATATGAAGTCAACGCATAATATTACTACAAGATCATTTCACCAATTAAAACTTGTTACATAAATTATCAAACAAACAAACAAATAAATTTCTAAGCCCAATTGCACAGAAATATTTCCAATCCAACAGGGAATCAGATTAACAGTGTATTGAACTCAAGGGGCAAGATAAGGTTTATGATCATCAAATTTAGTATGATTTTCTTTGAATGCATAAAAACTATTGGACCGCCAATAGTCCAATACAACACGAACGAGTCAAAGGTCAAACAACCAGAGCAACTTGTTTTAGCCACAGCTGATCCAAAAGCACAAAAACAAAGAGCTAGGCTTTTTAAGCGAAACTGCAAAACCAAATTCAGAACTCTTTTACAAACGCTTGTTTCCACGAATTGTAATAACGAGTTCACGTATCATAAAACCAGCATTCACTGGTCAATCCAAGTCCAAAACAACACAAAATCATTGCAAATAAAGGGTTGATCAGAAGGAGAAAAAACTCTTACCAGGGCACTTTGCGTCCGTCGGTGGGCATTCCTTCCAACAGAGAATCTCGAAAATAAACCCACCATTTTTTTCAACTCAAAAACCAATACCCACGAAGAAAAAAACGATCTTTTTTATGCTGGCGTTATTAACTAGTCAAAGGGTCGATTTACCTGCCAATACTTGTTGTTTGGACAAGCCAAAATCACTTAAATCAGTGCATGCATGAGACGGGTCCTGATCCGGGTCAAGTTTGGCCTGAACCCAGGTACTGTTGCTTGGATGAAGCCAGAGAAGAGAAAGAGAGATAAAAAGGTGAGGTGGAGAGGAGAGGAGAGGAATCGTTTACTTGGCGTGAAGATGATGGAATTTGATTTGTTGTGTTGTATTTGGGGAAGTTAATAATAATAATAGAAAAAGTGTGTATTATTTTAAATGATGTAAAATTGTGTCTTAAAATTTTAAGTACGAGAAAGAGATAGATAAAGTAAGAAAAAAGGTAGACAAAAATTATTAAAGTGTGCGTCTCAGTTTGTGAGGATGAAATGCCAAAAGTTATGTCATCTAAAAAGACAAATAATAATAATAATAATGCTTTGGAATCAGTTGCGCAACGCAGTAAATAGGTGTAAACGAGAAGAAAACTTTCAGAACAACTGCTGTACGTGCATTCATGTTAAAAGTGGGAAAAAAAATTGAATTTAAAAAAAAAATATAAAAGAAACATAAATAAAGATGTAAAAGGAATTTACCAAAAAAAAAAAATGTAAAAGAAAATACCGAGTTAGATATTTTGATACCACTAAAAAAAATTTCCGTAAATGAAAATGACGAAAAGGGTGAAAGACAGCGTCAACGAAAGATTTGTGTATAAAATAAGGCAACACACGGAAAGCACTTATTAGAATTTAGAAATGGGGGCAGATGAGAAGGTAAGGTAAGCTTTGAGCAGCTGGTGATTTGGCAGACTGAAGGGATGTCAATGTCATTGTCCACTGATGACTACAGCACAGCCACCGGCCATGCTACAATGCTTTACGCGCCTTCCTAAGGCTTTGTTACACAACGCTCGTGATTATTTATTGAAGAAAGATCATTTAACTAATGTCTGCTTTTAATTTTTTATTTATTGGAAAACAAAAAACCAAGCACGATGCGGACAGTGGAGAAGAATCCATAATGTAGAAAACTATAAATCATTTATTAGTGTTATAAAAAAAAATTAAGTACTTGATTAGTTCATGATGGCAGCTTTCTTTGACTCGATAATTATTACTGCGTGTACCAGTCAGATCTTCAACTTTATATTCAAGGAGTTGAGCCTGTTGTACTGCTTCCGTGTAAACTAAACTAAATTGTTATATAAAAAAAAAAAACTAAATTAAACGAGAATAGATTTTTTCACGTGGTCATGTTATTTGATTATAATTACTAATTTAAAAATTATATATTTTTTTTCTCTCTTATCTCATTATCAATGAGTGGTTGTGATTAGGGGTGTTCATCAACCGATCCAAACAACATTAACCGAACCGAAAAATCAATAACCAAATAAATCGAAAACCGAAAAAATGAAAACCGAAAAAAAACCGCAAATTTTAATTAGATTGGATTGGTTTTTGGATGGTTGATGAAAACCGATCCAATATATTAATTTCCCTCAACCTACTTGGATTTTTCTCTAATCATAGCCTAAAAATTTCTAAACCCAAGACCCATTAATCCATCAACTAAATCCAAGAAAAAATCTAGTCATATCTCATCAACTAAATTTTATCTTTGTAAAGCTTCATATCTCATTGCAAAAAAAAAAAATTATATTATAATTTACTAATGCTTTTGTATTTCAAAAAAATAAAAATTTACAAAGGCCAATATATACAAAAGATGTTATTTGCACAATAATCATAAATAAATTTTAGAATTTTAAGAAAACTGATCTAATCCAAACCGAAAAAAATTGGATTGGATCGGATCGGAGTTGAAAAAAAATTCAAACCGAATGGATGATTATATGATCAAACTGAAGAGATTGGATCGGATGATTTTTGCTTCCAAAACTGATCCAATCCAGACCGCGAACACCCCTAGTTGTGATCAAATAACATGACCACTTTTTCACACGAGAGAGGATCCACTCCCAAACTAAACTAAACGGAAGCCAGCTCATTTCTACGGTTGCGCACGCTCGAGTAGAGTTGGTATTAAATTGTATATAATTTTAAATGAAAAGGAATTTGATGCACTTACATGATTGATTTGGATTGGTTTTGTTACGATTTATTTCATAGTTTAGGATTTTTTAATATTTATTATTTATTATTTTTTTACTATTTTTAGATTATGTTTGTGTATGTGTTTATTGTGCATTATCTTCTTTAATTATGCATGATTATAGTTATTTATAATTTTTTTATTTTATTTTACCTATTTAATAATTGAAGAACCCTCTTGTTATTTGGTTGTTTTTGGTTAAATAAAATTAAAAAAAGAGAAAAATATTTTATCGCAATTCTTGTTTTGTTCTTTCTTTCTGTTTAACCAATTGGTTATTACTTCAACATTAGAATTAATATTATTATTTTTTTATACCAACCCTAATTATTTCTTTAAGATGAATGGGTTTTTCTGATATTTTCACAAATTTCGATTCTTTGAAGTGGTGGTGGGAAATCCAACTGTGAGGTGAGTCTGAGATTAAGACCTTCTCTCCCTCCCAAAAGTGATATTGGTAGGGATCGAAGTGAGGTCCTTCAAGCACATGTTTAGCTCTCGTATACCAACTGAGTTATCACAATTTGACAAGAAGGAATTACTTTACATCCGCATGAGTTATATTTTTAATTTTGATTGTTAATTTATTTTTAGAAAAAAAAATCAGCTTTTGTTGCAAAGAAAAAAATTTCTGCCAACAGCAAAAGTTGAAACATTAAATCCTTTATTTATATCGAATAATTTTAATTTATTCATGAATCAATAATTATAAATGGATGTAAAAAAATTTATTTTTACACTCATATAAAATTGTTTCATTTTAAATAGATAAAAATATTTTTTGGTAACATGTATTAGTGCTCCTTAATTAACTAGTATAATTAAGATGTGATCATAAAATGTACATAAACACTACAATTATTTCACCATCTAAATTATCATCATATGCGCTATCTTATTTGTAACGTGTTTATTTTAAGTTCAGAATAACAAAAAAAATAAATTCACAGGAAGACGATGAAAGTAAAGAGATTGGAGGCTTTCGTGTGTAATTCTAAAGATTAAAATAACATGTGCGACAATAATCCTGAAAAATGAACACATAACGTGAGAGTTTGTAAATAATTATTTCAAGCTAAAAACTTAAATTAATAAGTGAGATTTTATGCCTGCTTGTGAGATGTTATTTTTTTTTAACTTATTTTTTCTTCTTATAAATAAAAATTTAGCTAAGCATAATTTTACAAAAATTCTTATTTAAAAAAAATTATAATGAAGAAAAAAAAAAACTAGAAGCTAAAGACTTCAAACATGAGCTTCTTTTAAGATGTATAACATCTTTTTACAATACTCATATCTATTTTTCAATTGTATCCTTATTCTACATTTTTTTATTAATTTATCATTTACCTTTGTAATTTACCTTAATAACAAATTATTTTATCTCTCTCCCTTTAAATCTCTTAGAATAATTTTATATAATTATTAAACAGTTCTTAATTTTATTTTTTAAGTTTCTTTTGTTTTTATAAAATAAGTTTGTTTTTAACTTTAATTAAAAGTAACTTTTAACTTAAAAAAAAAAGTGTCAAACAAGTTGTTTATGTTAATATATCTAATACATGCCTTGGTGTAAGGGTTACTGGACTTGAAATGTGAGTAATACAGAAATTTGTTCAAGGTCTAACTCATGCTTGTTTAAACTTGCCTTTTTAATTTGTATTAGAAAACGAAGATGGCGAGACTTTAATTCCTAACCATTTTATCACAAGCTTTGATATTATGTAGTATAAATTTATAATCAATTTAACCTACTAATTTAAATTTGAGTCGGTAAGTAAGACAACATTAATAATTTTATATTAATATCTCTAACAAGATCTTATAAATTTTTTATCTATATTGTTTTATTATCTAAATTCAAGTGCATTAAACAACACTATATTCAACCTTCATGATACGCAATCCGCTAATTTAAGAAATTTATGTCCTCGTGAATTCCTAAATTTAAACACAATCTTTTAACACTATAGTAAATTTAGGAGCTTGAAGAGCCTTTTTTTTTTTCAAGCCCGAGCCTGGATTTATTAATTAGTGGTTTTTAAATCATAATACGGTAAAATAAAAAAGAAACAATGTATGGTATTTTAAAATTATTTATCAAATTAACGAAGTTGATCTCATTAGGGGGTCAACGAAATCATTACAAATTTACAATCATGTGGTTGTACTTTGGCAGTCTTGCTTTCGTTGATAGCTAGATAGACTAATATCGCTATCCATCCCAAAGATTGTTATGGGGCGTTTGGTTCAGGTTTTTGTAAAATTTACCTATGCATCTGAGTGTGGCTTTTTTGGACTTCCTTGTTTAGTTGAAGTTTTTGAAAATTTTCCCCATGCATCCGTGTTGCCCAGCCGTTTGCATTTGTGTGTAAAAATGGGGGAAAAACACGGTTGAGAAAGACCTTCTGCAGTGTGGTATTTCAAGTTTTCTATGCAAATGGGAGAAAGAGAAGCATTTCACTGCCAAAAATACCCTCTGCTATGGCGTGAAAGTGAGACCCGAGTACGTCTGTAGAAAAGGTCATTTGCAATTTGTGGGTAGCAGAATGGATCTTGAAACGGCGAATGAGGTCTTGGTTTTGCATGTGGCAAATAGCACACTCTTCATCTATCTGCTTTGTAACCCAAACCAAAGCACCAGTGAACACTTGATTTCAGTTGTGAGGTAGAGGTAATGAAACTCAAACTCAGTTGACATCAATGGAGGCTTTATTTCTGATCATCACTATTATAGCAAACCCCTTTTATTTCTGAAGTAAATGACATATTAGAAGGGTTGGTAAATACAGCAAACCCCTTTTATTTCCCATTTGAGTTCCTTAGTTGGTCTTGTTGCTGCTCCTGAATTGGTACGAACGTATGATTTCCATTTGGATGCATTTGTGGTTGCTCTTGAATTGGTCCCAGTTTTTGCCCATTTGATTGCTTTTGTTGAGGCTGTATTGGGGCAAAAAATGTTGCTCTTGAATTGGTACAAACCTGTGCTAAAAAAAAAAGGTAAAGGGTAGGTGATACAAAAAAAATTAAAAACAAGGATATTTTCGTAATTGCCACTTATTTTCTCATCTATATTTTACCTCAAACCAAACATAG